AATGTAAACGGGTAAAGGTGAAACGATTACAAGACATTACGACGAGCGGTTTTCATAAAACGGGAGAATCGTTGAATAGTAAAATTTTATGGTTTTACAAAAAGAATATTGAAAACGTAGCTGGGTATCAATCTTTTTTGTCGACAACTGTAATATTATATTATTACTTATAATATTAAAATATTATATTATGTTATCTTTTGTACATGTATGTCATATATTATGAATTCACAAGATCACCAAAACAGGGTTCCCTTATCTAAGACTTAAAATAATCAATAAAGTAGTCAATTAAATCTGATTATCGTACAGATTCAAAGTCACGCCCATGTGAGGGTTCTCAACTAAGTCCAGCCAATCACATTCAACTATTAATTGAGATCTACAGTTTCTAAGATCACACTAGGGATCGCTACACGACCCTCGTCTACTATAAAAACCCATTTTTTCCTATTAAAATCAGTTCTTTCGGCTATTTTAAATTACACAAAATCTGCGACACTCTACTCAAGATTCTACTCTCTGGGACTTAGTTTATTTTTTAATTTATTTGGACTTAGAATATTTTTCAATTTTTAAAACACTTAGTCGTTTTTTTTAATTTATTTGGACTTAGAATATTTTTCTTTAAAACTAAATGACACTTAGAAATTTTAAAGTGAATTTTGTTTTGGTGAATCTTTTAATCTAATTTAATTTGTTCATTATATAATGATATTTTATTTTTATTTTACCATGGAAATAAATGTCAATTAATATTTTAAAATAAAACATTTTTTTTTTTAAAATAAAACCGAATCAACTCTAATTTTCTCAGTTAATGATAAATATTGATTATATGACTAAGTGTATTGCAACTCTATACTTACTGGGTAGCTAATCTTCTGTGGTTTAATGTCTTTGTTCTAACGAACATCGCGCCGGCAGACAGAGTAAAGGTTGCAATTAAATATTTTTAAAGTTAGGTGTTAGGTTAGAATATATTTGTAAGCCTATGTGTATTGGGTAGCTAATCTTCTGTGGTTTAATGTCTTTGTCTTAACAAACATCGCGCCGGCAGACAGCACAGAGAAACTTACAAATATATGTTTTTAGTGTTTAATTTTTGTCTTGGTGATTATTGTGCCGCATCCTTTCAAGGTGCTTTAATTTAGCACCGGGACACATTGGGCCACCACAATTCCGCCCTGACAAATCTTTTACATAGATATAAATATTTCTGAATCTTGTTTTGGCCAGGCCAGAGGAAAATTTAAGAAATATTGGTGTCGATCTCTCAATAAAATATAATCTCTCAAACAATATACTCATTCTACTAAGTCAACTAAAGATACATTATTTGATTATAATTATAAAAATATAGAGTGTATAGAATCTCTTGCATACAATAATACAGTCATAGATTTTGTGTAACAGTTTCGTATTATTTATAATTAAACGCTTTATTCTCAAACGGTCATATTTACTGTTGAAATCAAAGTGTACAACGTGTGAAATACAGTGTAAACTCATAATCAACATTGGATTGTCAAAAATAAACATTACACTACGTGGGATACAAGGTAAGTACAAATTTAAATTCCCGCTTTCAAATTATAAATACTATATTGCGTAATAAACCATTAAGATAGGTAATAAAGTTTGGTAGGATAATTGACTTCATTTATTCAATATTGTTCAACCCCGAGATCAGTTCATTATTTTTGTCACAACGTTTTTGTGCATTTTTATTTATTTGATCATTACCCTCATGTATTTAAACTCCGTTTATTCACCCCTCTGAATCATTTTTTATTCATATTATTATATTCTTTGCACCCTTACATATCTTGCCACATTTAAACATGTGTTACTCCGCCATTTACCATCTTATTTAATAATTTTTATTATTATTCGGCCATACATACGCTATATTATATCTTTAGTCTGAATAAGAACCAACCCTTAGATTTTCTTTTGGTACAATATAAGCATTTATACATTCAATAGTAAAATCCACATCACCACCATTTTTTTTCTTATCCTCCATTATTAATCCCTATAAACCTACCTATCATCTTATAATATTTTATTATACCTACCATTTATTATATTTTATTATTTTNCCTATCATCTTATAATATTTTATTATACCTACCATTTACTATATTTTATTATTTTACATTCCAACAAATTCTACTAAATACAAACTTTTTCTTTTTTTTAATCTTTTTTTCTTTTTGGTTTATTACACAACAAGAGCCGAATTATTTGAAAAATTACGCGACTGTCTTAAAGAAATGCGCCCGATAAAATTCAACCTTAAACTTGAGGCGACTTATACTGTACCGAATAATGAAACCAAGTACGAAAATCGGTCATTTATAATGTCGGCAGTCGAGATAATTAACGAGGACGATATCGGTCATGCTGTGGATATTTCATACACAAAATTATTAGAAGAACAGGAAAACTATGCTGGTAAAGGTAGTAATTTCTCGTTTAAACGGTATTTTACTGGGTGTTTACAAGTATCAGCCTTTAGGCGGGAGTTTTTACATTGATTTAAAATAAAAAAGCTGTAATAAACCCACAAAATATAGATCAACAATGTTTCAAATGGGCTATATTAGCGAAAAAAGTTACGGAAGGTAAAAGACATATAGTAGAACAAAACTATAAGTCTATAGAAAAATCTTATAATTTCTCCGGATTATCATTCCAAACACCGATTTCAGACATAAAAATGTTCGAAAAAAATAATCCGCATACTTCAGTCAATGTTTACGGACTAAAATTGAAAGATTTACATAATTAACCCGAATATTTAGTTTATTCGCTGAAAGTGTGCGCTGAAGAACGTAAAGACCATTTCGATTTGTTAATTGTGACAAACGCCGCGGGTGATAGTCAATACACTTATATCACTGATTTTGGAAAACTGGTTCAATCACAAATAACAAAGAATACGGCAAAAAGGATATTTTGCAAACTGTGTTTCACGGGCTTTAATAATGTACCTAAAAAGTATAAACTATATGAAGTTGAAGCGCTAGAAGAACATAAAAAAATTTGCGTTGAAAACAAACCGTTTTTACCTGTAATGCCTGAAGAGGGTACTAAATTAAAGTTCGAGTCATGGGGAAAAAAACAGAAACATCCATTTGCAATTTATGCTGATTTTGAAAGCCTGTTAGTTAAGTCCAATAATGATACGAAAGGCAACACAAATTTTGTTCATGAAAATGTTGCAATGAGCTATGGATACATAGTAAAAGCGGCCGATAGTTTACCCATAGAATTATTGCAACAGTTTAATATTCAAACGACGCCTAAAATATATAGAGGAAATAAAAGCACTGAGCCGGAGGAAGTAGTCAATCGTTTCATGGATGACGTAACTGAAGTGACGTTGAAAATTGAAGAGTTGCTCAAGACGAACGTTAATATTTGTACGACACACGAAGAAACTGAAGAACATATTAAGAAAACCTGCTGTGACTTGTGTAAAGGTAGTTTTACAGAGAATAATCATAAAGTAACATTTTTAATATATTTTTTTTAGAACCAAATACCAACACAAAAATCAAANGCAGACCATGATCATTTGATAGGTAAATCATAGACATAACTATGTTAAATGTATAGTAATATAAAAAGAAAAATTTATATATATTTGTTTCAGGTAGTTTTAGAAAAACGCTTTGTAACAGTTGCAATTTAAAGTTAACAACGCCCAAGTTTGTTAACGTATATTTTCATAATCTCAGCTCGTACGACGGACACTTTTTAGTTAAAGCCCTTGGAAGAGATACTAGTAGAATAAGTGTAATACCCGCTACAGAAGAAAAATATATTTCTTTTTCAAAGTTTGTTTCAAATAAATTTTTGCTTATGTTCGTTGATACATTTCGTTTTATGGGCACTAGTTTAGCGGCTCTCGCTGAAAATTTGCGCGCCGCCGACATAAAATTATTCGAAAAAACCGCAAAAGCTTTTTCATCGAACAGTGACATTGATTTGGTGACTCGTAAAGGCGTGTATCCGTATTCATACCCGTCAAGCTGGGATGTACTCGAAGAAAAACAATTGCCGTCAAAAGCCGATTTTTATAATGATCTGTCAGAAACACATATTGATGAATACAAACACGCACAAAACGTTTGGCAACATTTCAATTGTAAAACACTCGGTGAGTACTCTGATCTGTTATATGTTATATGTTATATAACATATGTTATATGTTCATCTTCTCTCTATGTCTGCATTGTCGCCGCCATCTTAGGGTTTTTTAGTTATAAGCTCTATGGCGCTTGCGAACCTATAGTATCTAGAGAGGTTTTTACTTTGATGGTCAATTTCACATTGTAAAAAACTCGATGAGAGAATTTTTTTTTTTTTTNATAATAGATATTTTAGAGTTTTATTTTTGTACTTCTTTTTTAAGTATTATAAACAACTATTTTATTCATTAAAAATAAAAATCATAGCAATAGTAACTTTAAAATTTTGATAAATCTAATAAATAAATGTTTATGAATCATTAAAAATCTATTTTTCTTGGTTAAAAATAAGGCAACTTATTTTATAATTATATGTTACTAAATATATGTTAAAATAGTTATTAAATACTGGGAAAATACTGAACTCTATTAAAATATTAAAATTTCATATAGTTAAAATGTTAATTATTTTTATGTTATAAACCCTCGCCCAAAGCTAATAATTTTATTATGCAAATAAACTTTCTTAAATTAAATAGTTATTTTGGTAATTTTTTAATAAAAATAAATATTTTGTAATTTTTTTCTCCAATGTTATACACCTTAACAGATGATGTTGATGGTGTTTCACATTTTTAATATATTTTTTTTAGAACCAAATACCAACACAAAAATCAAAATTTTACTATTCAGTAAGGAAGCTTCTGTATAACTTAATAAAAAATTTATTATATTACAAGTCAAATTATTACCATAATAGTTAATTTATGGATGAACTAATTTTATGGTTTCCTGTACATATTAATATAAAAAATATTTTCAATGTTTAAAAAAGTAAATTATTATATGCTTACTGTTTTCTATCAAAAATAACATGATTATTCTTTGGTGTCATATATGGTGAATGTGAAATTTCTCTGTTTGTTTTATCTATACCATTCAATGGAATATTTCGGTCAATTGACTCAATAGCTTTTTTAGGGCAATTTACAAAATTATCAAAATCAAACTATTAAATAAAAATTAATTTTAGTATATTTATGATAAATGTCTTTACTTTATCAAATTTTATTAACATAGAAGTATACCTCTTGGCTAGTTCTGTTTCTTACACCAAAATTTTCTAATGTTTTCCTTAATTTACGCTTTTTATCATTAGGATTTTCTCTACCTAAATTTTGAAACTCATGTGGAGAAGAATTACTGTTACTAGAATTGTTTCTAAAAAAAGTTATTTGTCAAATTAAAAGTATTTCCTATTAAAAAATTTAATTATGTATCAAATATTATAAGAGGAACTCATGAACAACATAATTTCTTAAAATAACATACTCTGAAGCATACGATACTGATAAATTTGAAATATCAGAAGTTGGCGTTGTAGATCTCATTTCTCGAGCTCTTTGAGCTATTCGATAACTAAATCCAGGACTTGTTACTTCAGCTATATTATAATTTGGTCTGCAAAATAAATTATATAAAATTTTTTATCAAATTAATAATTAATTTTTATACCATACACTTACATAAATGGAGTATTATTTCCATTATTTCTTCGAGAAATAGGCAATTTCTGGTTAAAAATATTAAGAGCTTTTGCCTCAGGACTATTGAGATTTAATGTTTTCCTACTAAGTGGGCCCGTAGATTTAACTTTGTCTGAATCAGACTTGAAATTAAATAAATTTAAAAATGAAGAAAACATATCAACAGGATAACAACTATTAAAGTCGAAGATTATATTAGGCAGTCACAAAAAAATAATACGCGGAATAGAAAATGACGATTAATAACACATAAGGCCTTGTTTATAGCATGGACAAATAAGTAAATAACTAAAAAGAAAAGATAAATCAAGTTAAAATTATTAAATTGAAAACTCCGACGAACGGCAGTGATATAAATCAACATGTGGGTAACCAGGAGCAACTAAATTATTAAAATGTGAAAAGTAATCTGTGCAAAATTTAATTTTTAAAATATTTTTTTGGTCTTATTAAGTTATTTTTACAAAAGTTTATAATAAAGATAGGTTGAACTTTTTGACAAAAAATTTTACTAGCTTAACTTGATGATCTGAAAATGATTTACCTTAGCTAAAAAAAACAATTAAAAAATATTACATTTTCAAGGGTATTTTTTTGACGTATTATTGAATGAAATCAGTTCGATGAAAACTGAGAAAAAGTGGTAACAGATACAAAAAAAAAAAAATAATTATAAAATCAATATAGTAAAATAATTTCCTACTATAACAATAATTGATCAATTGTGGCTAATGTTATTTAAAATAAAAATATTATAAATATTTAATTTAATTTTTAGTTAATTACCAATTAAGTATTTCATTAATTATAGATGAAAAAGAGTGTCCTATCTGTCAAGAATTAGGTAGAAAATTCGTGACTTTAATTCCTTGTTTACATAAAATTTGTAATCTTTGCGCAAACAATTTAATGTTAAATGAAATTTTATTTTGTCCATTCTGCAAATTTGAACTGCTTCAATATGTGTAAATTTTCATATTTTGATTTATTATATTAAATAATAAAAATAGATTACTTATGGCTAGTATTATTTAAAATTTTAAATATATTTAAATTAACGTTTTTAATTTTAAATATTTTGTCAAGCATTTGTTTCCTAACAAATACCAAACATTAATTTTTAACTTAAAATATTTTTATAGTAAAATGATTACATATTTATTTAGACTTTATAAAAAGATGTATATGTAGAAAAGAGTTACAAGAAGTAACCGTGCACCCTTGTAAACATAAAGTTGGAGTTAATTGTGCTGAGAAAAGTTGGGAAAAAGCGTTTGTTGCACCCAAATGCCCAGAATGTGACGAATACATTAAATATTTTGATATAGATGGTACGTTATCGATTAGTAAAAAATTTTACTAGCTTAACTTGATGATCTGAAAATGGTTTACCTTAGCTAAAAAAAACAATTAAAAAATATTACATTTTTGAGGGTATTTACGTGTGGCATATACTGTTGTAAGATGTCTCTTTTTTGTAACCCTTTTACAAATATGTCTGTAAATTTTAACGAGTTTAAAATTCTCGGTAGTTCTTCAATTTCTACGTTTCCGTACAGAGGTTACATTGAATGTCTGTGCTTTTTCAACCACGCGTTAACATTTCGGCTATTTTCATCTGTTGGAGTTGCATGTTTAAATATCCAGTGTTGTGTAGCATAAGTGTCAGTATCCACTACAGATAGTTCTTTTATAAGATAGTCGTTATTCGATCCCAATATACACTCAAAATCAGCTATTGCTGTAGTCATTTAGTTTGTTAACTAGTACGTTGAGGATACGGATCTTGTTCTAGGGCGTTTTGTTTTTTAAATAAACGTAGACTAGAGTCAGTATAGGCTTCATATTTTACAAAACCTTTAGTTTTATTAATCTGTTCTTCTAGCTGACTATATCGTAATTTAGAAGTTGAATCTATTGCGTTAAAATAAGTATTCAAATTTTCAATTTTAACTTCTACTCCGTGTATTTGTTCATTTATTTGTTCAATTATTTTCCGATAATTACTAAGCGTTTCAGTAATTTTTATAATATCTGTTTCTAATTTAGCTAATTTAGATTCTAGTTTGCATATTTTTTTTATTCTTTTACTTTCTAATGATGAACCAAAAACATCCATTACTGTTAACTTTTACGAATGAACTAATAATATTTTATTAGTTTTGCAGATTTTATTCTGCTCGGATGACTTTTTATATTTTTAAAAAGTAATAACACACAGTTTAATTAAAGATAGGTAGAGGGGATATGTACTTTAAGGTTAAATAATTATACATATTTAAATATATATTGGTAATTTATTATATGGAGTAAAAAATACAATTAAATATTATAAATTTTTACATTAATATCTTACAATAATATTTAAATAAATCATTTTTCAAGCTTATTTTTATTCATCCATGAATCATGTTTTGAAGGAAAACCAATCCAACGAAACAATAATTGATCACCTTTACGTCGTACAATTTTTTCAATCAGATAATTATGCGGATACTTGGTTTTTTGTAATTCTTGTTCATAAAAACACCCTATAATTGGATTTTTTTCAAAGTCTTCGAGAAGATAGGTTACTGGTATAGTGTTGCATACCTTTGCTATTATAAATATTTCAAAAGACCAATTAGTCAAATAGTCTTTTTCAAATACGACCTTGTTCGAACTAACCCTTACATAATCACCTCTACGAAATTTAATTTTTTGTTTCGTTTTAATATAATAATAATATATATTCAAGTGTTCGTCGGCCAATACGTAGTTCACAGTCACCCAGAGCAGAGACAACATCATATTTACCTAAAAAGAAAGCCGCAAGTAAATCGCCGCTAAAAGAAAAATCGACTAAGTCCATTAGCAAACGTAATTTATCGTTTTTAAAATCGTTAAACGTTCTTTGAAATTATGGACAATTTATGCTTAGACGTGACGGAAAGTTATGTCGATCAGTGTAAAATAATTAGTTAACAGGTACAATCATTTTTACCGTATAGCTCCACTGCGCTAGGTAAAAATGATGAAATATGATTTGAAATTCGCAACATGGACAGTTACACTTTACCAAGTGCCAGTTATTTGTACTTGGAAGGTGAAGTGAAAAAACCTGATGGTGTGAAATCCAGTCCTAGATTTATTAACAACGGACTCGCATATTTATTTTCTGAAATACGTTATGAAATAAACGGTACTCAAATACAAAAAGTACGCAACCCGGGCAATACATCTACTTTGAAAGGCTATTGCTCATATAACCCCGCTGATATTAACGAATTACACACTGCAGCATGGGACATTACTACTGAAGACAATAAAGACTTTTTCGACTGTACATATTTTTCTGGGATTATACCGCTGTCACATATACTGGGGTTTGCTGAAGATTATAATAAAATACTCTTAAACTGTACCCAATCATTAATATGTACGAGGAGTTCTTCAGACATTAACGTAATCAATTTGTTCGATGTGAACGAGTCCTCTGAAAAACTTAGAGGAAATACAACTCTGAAATACAGCACGGGAACTTCTGGTGATACTGAGGTTGTCAAGCTATTAGACACGAGTACCGCAGCAAAAGAAAAACTGTCTACAGTATCAATTAAACTGACAAAAGTTGTATGGAATATGCCAATTGTCAAAGTGACTGAAAAGGAACAATTAAAATTACTTAGAGTTTTAGATAGTAAAAAGCCTATACATTGCGCCCATAGAAATTGGTAACTGTGTGAATATCCGTTTGTACCACAAAACAAATCGTTTTCGTGGACCGTTAAAACATGTAATAATTTTCAAAAGCCCCGTTATGTTATAGTAAGGTTTCAAACAGACCGTAAAAATAGTGAAAGTAAATCAATGTCTGAATTCGATCACTGTAATTTAACAAATCTTAAAGTCCATTTAAATTCAGAAGTTTACCCGTACATCGATTTAAGATGTAATTTTGACTNTCCGTACAACGATTTAAGATGTAACTTTGACTGTAAACTATTTAGTATTTTATTTTCCTACTATGTTAATTTTCAAAAGAGTTATTAAAATAGACCTTGGTGTTCGCCTTTAGTAAATAAGAAACAATTTCTTAATTTAATACCTATTGCCGTAATTGACATGTCAAAACAGAACGATACAATTACAGTCTCGTCTTTTGACCTACGTATTGAAATTGAAGCATCAGGCGCGTTCCCTGGTAATACAACTGCATATGCTCTAGTAATTTCAGACAATGTATTTACATATACACCTTTTGACGGAACTGTCCGTATATTTTAACATTTTTTACACGTTTATGTAAACATTTATTATTAACCTTGTAATTATTATTATTATGAAATAAATATATTATATACAAATAACAACACTTTATTTTTTATTTTAGATTATAAGTTTATTATAAGAAACTAGTACAATATATAAAGTTATTGTTCATAAATTATTAATGTAAGTTAATTTTCTAACGTGATTGGGTTTCGGCCATTGTGAAGCCCATGGATTATAACTATTTTCTAGGATAAACACTTTTGTATCGAAAAATGCCGGACCGTCATTTTCGTCATACATTTTTTCTTTTTCCTAAAACAAATTATAAATTTAATAACAATAAAGATAATGACAATCTATGTTCATTACACTCACATTAATTTGAAGCGTACCTTCGGACCATGACTTGGCCATGCGAATGAAGGCTTTAACACAACATAACTTGAAACCTATTAAATCACCACCACCGTCCGATGTCGCCGCTGCTGTAGCACATTCACGTAACCTTGAACGTTAGATTTGGATAATTTACATAAGATCGCTTGTATCTTGTTAACAGATGATCCTAGAGGTCTGAATATTTTTCTCAGCCATCCCCTGATAAACTGTTCATCGATCTCGTCACGATATTTAATCTGAGTCCCCCTCCATATTCTTCCGGATTCCCTTTTTAAACTCTACGTAGTAACCTCAACTAATGTCCGGTGAGGATATCCAACTTCCATTAATGTATAATATTAAGTGACAGAAAAGGGGAAGAAAACTTGAGGTGTCCTTAAGTGACTCTGAGGGAGAGGCTGATCTATATAGAGTGTTCAAAAACATTATAATAATTATATACGGGTATATATTTATAAATGATTAAGGACGTGGATAATTAATATTGCATTAAACAAAATCTATTAGAGTGATTTTTTATCATAACAATTGATTGAGTTATGAAAAAAAATAACCTATATAAAGAAATATGTGTTTGACTAATAAAGTTAGATATTTTGTTTAAATTTTTGTAAACCTGGAAACACAAAAAAAAAAAAAACAGAATAACTCAACCCAACTCAAACTGAAATTAAATGTCAGTTTAGGTAAGAGTTCTAGTTTTTTAAATTGATAAGCATTTAGATTTTTGTTTCAAATTTCAAGTCCAGTTTTAAAATTTCCTTGATATTTTTAAAATTTGAAACATTGTAGAATTCTGAAATGTTAAAAATTATTAGTAGGTTTATTAAGGTGGTTCAAAAATTAGATTACTGCTCCCCGTCATTTTTATGCATTGTATAAAAAATTATCCTTTGAAAATTTGAACTCGATCAATCAACACCTTTATGTAAATATATAATGTTATTCTAAATAAATCAACTAAATGTACTTTTCTGTTTGTGCTTTGAAATTTTGCTTGTTATAAAAAGGAAACTGTTTTCAATTATTTTTAACGATCTAAATTAAAAAATTCTAAAATAAATTCATTAATTTAAATAATTACAAGAAAATAATTTCTGTACGTTTTATGTAATAATAAAGCAACAAAAATTTTCTTGGAAGTTAGTTTAAAAAGATGTGTAAACAAATGCATTTTTGACACAAAATGGATTTTCCATACACCTTGAATAATGGCTTCTGGGTGCTTTAACAAGATTCTATTTGATGTTGATATTTTTCTTAAAATGATAATAAACAATCTTTATAAATTCTTTATAGTCGTCTCGTGATAAATCATCTTTTACTTTATTTTCGACGAATGATAACACTTCACGGGCTATGTCATCACTTTTCATATTATCAATAACACGTAGAAAAACTTATTTTGTCTAAATTGCACTATTCTGATTGCAATAGTTTTAAAAAGAGTTGCATCATAATACAAGTATGCAGGCGTGTACTGGGAAATAAGGACACAGGACGCTACATAGTTTTAGAAAAAAAAAAAAAAATGTAATGATTAGAGCTATTTTACAATAACACATTTAGAACTCTTTTAGAGGATGATAACTTTTTTGTTAAATATTCATAGTAATTTTATGAAAATTAATTAAAGCACATTTATGTTGAGAGGAACAAATATATATTGTTAAAGAGATGCTGTAATAACCCAGCATCTAGTCAGTCTGAGACTTAAAGTATAAAATATAAATTCTCTGTTTGTCAACAGTAAAAAAAATATGTTAGTCATAACTTTTTACAATTATAATTGATTATCAGTACACTATAATAGAAAAATATCATTTATTATACTATTAATATGAAATTTAAAGTGTTCAATTACATGATGAAATGTCCAAAATACTTGAATTAAAATCTCCCCGGAATGGGTCCCTTAGGCATTCCTTTTGCCTCTTCCTATTTCCTGCTTGTCCGGGTCTAGGCTATTACATGATGAGTAGCCTCGGCCTACCTCTCTTTTGGGTATTTATGGGAGGTTTACCTCCCTTATTCCTTTTTGGGAGGCTTACCTCCCTTATGGCTTTCCACGGGGTAGAAGCCGCCTCATCCAAGGCGACTCGCATAGCTATGAGGTATGCGGGCCGTTGGGGCGCCTTTCTGATAAAAGTGTTCAATTACATGATGAAATGTCCAAAATACTTGAATTAAAATCGTGAGTTGAATTTAGGAAGTCTGCCGCTAGCAATAATCTATCAATTTTCCTCATTAAAAACATTTTTCTTAATTTTTTTTGTATCAATAGTTGCGAACCTGTTCCAATCAAATGAGCAGCGATTGAGTCTAACCACCTAAATACAATTCTAATTTTCATTTACAATTTGTTTAATGCTAACGTTATAATTTTACAGAAATAATTATTATTCATTTTTTTTTTTTGAAGTAAGGAACGGGTGGCATATACCAGCTCTAGCTTTCCAAATATTCTTTAAAAAATTTTACATCACGGACTTATAAAATATCCAGACGTTAACTTTTTTTACAATATAGTAAATTAATGTTAGATAATTTAAAAATAGCAATTTTATAGAATTTAAAAAATAAATTACATTTTTCTACATTTCTAGAGTAATAATGTATTTATAAAAAAATTTGTGAATATTAGCTTCGATCCGAAGCTGAGAAGGTATTGGTTTTACTATGATGTGTTTATTTTTTATTTTTGTGTCTGTTACCACATTTTCTCAGCTCTCGCCAAACGGATTTCTTTCAACGATACGTCAAAAGATCACAAATCGTAACTAGTGATTTTAATCACTGTCAGATATCATTATACTTGATCCAACTATGCCACGTCACTACTGTGCCGCGATCCCCCTGTGCTGGGTTTTTTTTTCTATTAGTAAAGTGATCAATGAAAAAATAATCACTCTGTACATAAATTATTTATTTATTAGCGTTATGAATAACCATACAATAGTTGAAGAGAAGATTAAAGAAAATAATTTCTGAAAAATAAAAGATTTAAGTTAAAAGTAAGATTGACTCTAGTAAAATATTCAATTTTAAAATTTTTATTTTTCAAATTATTATATTTACCATTACGATTTGTTGAAAGATAAAAAATGCACTTGCAGCAGAACCTTGGGTCTTAAACCAAGAGTTATGTATTGGTTGAACACTTCAGTGACTAAACCTATGATATTGTACGGTGCCCTAGTCTGGTGGACCAGAACAGCACTCGTTACAGCTAGAAAAGAACTTAGTCGCATACAGAGAATGGCTGCTATGGTCATCACTGGAGCATTAAGAACTACATCAACGGTCGCATTAAAGGTACTAATCAGATTGCCTCCTCTGCATCTAGAGGTTAAAGCTCACACCAAAGCCACAGCTCTAAGATTTCACAACTTAGGTACTTGGACTTTGGAAAGTGACACAGCAGAACACGGTAAAGTAATAAAAGAGGTATACCGGAGTATTTTTGGAATACTCCTTGGGTTATATCAAACGGTTCTTAAGAATAACATTCCCTACAAAGTGGAAATCACTACACGTAGAGAATGGAATATTAACCACCTGGCTGATAAAGGAGGATTTGTAATATATACAGATGGATCCAAAAAATCAGGAAAGGTAGGTGCTGGAATTTGGGGTTTAAAGCCACGAATAAATGTCAGCATGTTATTGGGCACAACACCCTCTGTCTTCCAAGCAGAGGTGATGGCGATACTGGTAGGGGCTCAGAACCTGCTAGTATACAAGAATAGGAAGATAATTATCTTAAGTGACAGTCAAGCGGCTTTGAAAGCATTCTGTAATGATCAGATGAATTTAAAGCTTGACCTCGAATGCAGGGAAACTTTAGAATCACTATCGAGGTCCAACAAAGTTACACTAGCATGTATACCAGGACACAACGGTGTCACTAGAAATGAAAATGTTGAATTTCTTACAATGATAGGTATAATGTAATAACACTTCAGTGATGACACTTAGGTAGGTAAACCGAATCAAAACAATTGAGTTGCGCACAATGGACCAACAGATATGAGTGCATGAGCATTAAGTCCACTTCACTAATGACTAAAACTAAACTAAAACTAGGTCTATAAATATATCTCAATAATTAATTTTTTTACATTTTAATTTTTGTTTGTGTTTTTATTTGAATTAAAGTCGGTCATTAGAACGTTAACAATTTTCATTGCAAAATTTATACACATATCACATTTAGTCCTTTTTAACACGCTTATATTAGTTTCACTTGTATGTTGTGTGTTTGTAACTCTCCACGCGCCACGTGTTTTCGCGTATCCCGTCGTTTATGTCCCCTTGAGACTAGACTATAAATATGTATATGTTAATATTTATTTATATATTCCTACTGCCGCTGTCGCCATTTTACAAAATTTTAATGGTAATAAAAAGGAACTACAAAACATTAATGAGAAATTTTTTCACCAAACTATTTCTTAAAATTTATTCTAAAAGATGGCTATTTTAAAGTTTTTTTAAATACTTTTCATACATTTTTAAAATTATAATTTTTTATATAAATTATAAAAATTATATTTATTACATTATTATTATGAGCCTTAAGTATAACACGGCCGCCGGGGATTGACGGCCGGTTATAGATAGTGTACTGGAAATCATGTGAAAAAAAGAGGCACGGTACGGGATTAGAACCCGCGACCTAAGGCGTTGTATAGACATACCTTACCACTAGGCCACCGTGCACTTATAATTCAGATCTCGATACACTTTCATTTAGGTTGATAACGTGATGCGTGGCTGAGGGAAACACGGTACCGTGTCAAGTATATTAAATATTAAAAAAAAAAAATAGCAAAAAATATTAACTGGATCAAAAGTTATTTAAGTTGTCAGCGTGATCTGAGCCACCTGTATAATGATATGCACAATTGTAAAAAAAAATATATTTTCTTTAAATATCTCTTTTATTATAATTTAAAATCTGTACGAATTATTTGATAATCAGTAAATAATTCATTATAGTTTATAAAGATAAGGCTTGAAACTTGACCATTCTTCAGATGATCCTTCAGAATAGGCTAGAAAATATTTAAATTTAAATTATTATACGGTTATATTTTATTTTATAGTTTTAGTTTTTAATTTTTCAATTTCATAAAATATGATTAAGTTTTTATTTAAAAACATATTTTTAAATTTAATATTTTAAAAGGATTGCCTGCCATTGAATACATAACATAGCTCGACCAATTCGGGTCATTATGGTTTAAGGAAATTTTTTTTTGTATCCTATAGGTTTTTTGACGCTGATTCTGAATAAGCGCTTAGTTTTTATCTATATTTAATATTAATTATGTTATAAAGTTATTTGAATATTTGTAAAATTACTGTTTTTACATAAAATGATAATTAAAAAAAAAAACCCAGCACAGTGGTGACGTGGCATAGTTGGATCAAGTATAATAATATCTGACCGTGATTAAAATCACTATAAAAAAAACGCTTTAATGCAAATCTTTAGATAGTGTTATCTTTAAATTATCTTTAGATAATTTAAAAAAATTGGTGGATTATTCCAAAAGCTACATGATCCAATAGTTCCTTATTAATATCCTGATTAAGATAAAGTATGTCGAATGAAATAGAGATATAAATATTATATCTCATAAAAAATTGTGTCGATCCATACACTTTTTAATAAGTTATAGCATTATAAAATTAAAAATGCCAAAATAATAATAATATAATAATATCATTCGGTAAAGCATTTACCGTGAAGACAAAATAAAATCCGAAATTTTTTTTTCCATAATAAAGTATATTACATTAGCTTTAATTTAAGATATATATATATAAAAGTGTCAGACTTTCTGGACCACTTTCAAAAGTTAAGTTGAAAAAGTTGTCATTTTGAATCCCCCCTGTAAGCAAGTAAAGAGTCAGATTTATAAAAAAAATATAGCAAATGATAGTTAAAGACATCATGCATACATAAAAAAAAAAATTATATTGATACCCATACATCTTTCAAAAAGTTGTAGCATAATAAAGTTAAAAATATAAAAAATATTTTTTTTACAAAAATCGTATATTTTTTATTAACTTTGATGTCTGTTTTTACTGTAAAGACCAAATAAAGTCCGAAATTTTTTTTTCCATAATATTAGACAATGTAGACAAAGACAAGTCCAGAGGTAAAATTTTTTTTTTTCAAATTAAAGTATATTACATAAGTTTTAATTTAAGATCTATATAAAAGTTTCAGATTTTACGGAACAATTTGAAAAGTTAAGTTGAAAAAGTTCTACTTTCTATATGCATTTTTAAGTTTTGAACCCCCTTGTATTAAGGAAAATGGTCCGATTTAAAAAAAAAATATGTCGAATGAAAGATATATATAAATACTACTTCTTATGAAAATATTGTATAGATCCATACTTTTTTTAAAAAGTTATAACATATTAAAGTAAAAAATATAAAATCAAGAATTTTTTCACGGAAATCGTACGATTTTCTTGAATTTTAATGCCCGTTTTCACCACGAAGACAAGTCCAGAGGTCAAAATTTTTTTCAAAATAAAGTATATTATATTAGCTTTAATTTAAGGTACATATTTTACTTCACAAAAAAAAAAAAAATTTACGAAAATTAATATTATGGCCCCATTTTGGCCATAATATTAATTTTAATAAATTATAATAATATTAATGTTTCTCTAACGTCAATAAAATATTACTAATTAATATTATTAGAAACACTTATAGGCATCAAAAAACGAAAAAAAAAAATGTCTTTATCATTCCATAACCCAAATTATGTTTAGCTGTATAATTTTTATGTGAAAACTTTTTTCAAATATTATTGCACTTGTTCATTCATCAATTTCTATATTGAACTTGTATATGATAAGAATTATTAAGAAAAATAGGTTATTTAAATTTGTTAAGGACCCAGTAAAAATTATTGAATCACAATAACATGTATCTAGAGTGATTTTTTTTATAATAACAAATGAGTGTGTTAGTGTGAAATAAAAACAAGTGAATAAAAAATCACTTGTAAGCAATATGAGATTGATTAATTAAGTTAAATATTATTGTTTACAACTTTGTAAACTTGAAATACAAAAAAAAACAGATAATCCAACCCACTGACATTTAATATTAGTTTGGGTAAGAGATCTAGTTTTTTATATTGTTAACTATTTAAATTTCGGTTTCGGGTATTAAGACCAGTTTTTAAATTTTTATTAATGTCTCTGATATTTTTAAAATATGAAAAATTGTAGAATCTGAAATATCAAAAATTATTAGCATATTTATTAGGGTGGTTCAAAAATTATATTACTGCTCCACTATATTGTGTTATGTGGTATAAAATATTTATACCCAGAAACATATCATTATTCGAGGTGTATATAAAAGACATTTATTGTCTAAAAATGCATTTGCTTAGACATCAATTTAAACTAACTTCCAAGATGATTTTAGCTATTTTATTATTACATGTTACGTACAGCAATGGCTAAACTGTAATTATTTAGTTCATTGAATTTATTTTACAAATTTTTACTTTAGGTCATTAAAAGAAGCAATGTGTCATAATACTAACAAAATAGTACATTTGTACATATGATTTATATCGAGTAAAATTATTAATTTATACAAATTTTTTAAATAATTAGGATTTCATTATCATTTTTGCATTTTTTTTATACTTTAAATTTAGCATAGATAATATATTTCTTACGTCTAATAAAGACACTTAATATTTTTTATTAATTTTTGATAAAACTAATATCTATGGAAAGTTTTTTGAATATCCATTTTATTAGAAAATGTTTGCGCTAAATTAAATAATACTTGAAATAAACGCGAATAATTATATAACAATCATCTTTGATTAAAATTCAACTCCTGTGCTACACGGAAAGGAATTGGTTGATCAAATACAAATATTCATAATATAAGATTTTTATCCTTAGTAAAAAATTTGGGGAGTGCTGTAATTTTATTATCTGAAAAAAAATTTATTATATAGATTTGAACCACCTTAATATTCAAAGGATGAACAATTAAATTTATTTTATGAAATAATAATTTATTGTTAAAGGCAACCTTTCCACGTATCTCCGTTAGCTTCAGTTATAGCTTTACCTAAAGCCATAATATGTGATTCTTCAAATTCATTTCTTGAATATTTTTGTTCACAGTTTTCACAAAATTTTATTTTAATATCTCTGGGTATAACTTCGTAACGATGTATTTTTGTTACAACTTCTTTACAGTTATCGCATTTATCTTTAAATAAAATGTAAGTTAATGCAGTATACCATTATTTTAATTGTATTTATCACTACAAAATGTTTACTGGTTATCTCATACATGTGCGATTTACAACAAAAATATGTCAAAGATCTCAAATTTATTTAGTTTCAGATATTACTCACAAAATTAGAATAAAATTTCCTCGTTCCACATAAATGACACTCAAAAATGATATATACAACTTAATTCTATATAACTTATTAATTACTTTATAAATTATTGTTACATGTTATTTTGTTCATATCGGTTGGGTTGGGTCAAATTTTACTCAGCTTATTTTTATATGTATTACAACAATTATCGAGGTGAGAGAAATTCGAATTTCAAAAATCTTATTCTAGACGCCAAAACATATTTTTAGAATCTTAATTATTTTTTATTTAAACAATTATTTTGACAATATATATCATATTTATACTTACATAAATGCATTCCTAAAAAAATGATAAAAAACATCTTTTGATTATTACGTTAAAATATATAATCCAACATTGTGTCGAATGGTAAATATTTAGAATGTTTTATTAATTATTTAAAAAATTAATATTGACTTTTTGTTTATAAAAAACCTATACGTAAATTTTGTTATTTATAATATCGTTAATATTACGAAATTGTTGTGTTGGATTGTATTGGAGAAAGATAAGTAAAAGCTCATCTAGATTACACATAGACATTTAAAAAAAAAGACTGATAGATAGATAGATAGATAGATTCATTATGGAGTAAAACAAATCAAATAATAAGAAAAATTGTTTGACAGCGAACGATTTTGAGTATTCAAAAGTCTAACATTTGTGTACAGTTAATCGTATTTTTAGTGACAATCTATATAAGACATGAAAATTTTGCCTAATTTATTTTGCTATAATTTATTGAAAGTCATTAATAAGTACAACATATATTTTTTTTCAATTAAATAAATATTATGGTAAAAATTTGGGGTTGCCATATCATAATGGAAGATTGATATTAATTTAGGGATGATAGAAGACTTTATCGTCTAAAGAAAATCACCAAAGAGACATCATGTTTTTTGTTTTTATCTATATTAACCAAAAATCGAAAATAAATACTGAACCTTTAGTGTTCTCATAAAAGTATAACTTCATTTAAAAGCTCTTTAGATCACAAAAAGTCTATCATAATCATTTAAAATTATATAGGTACGGCAAATCAAAATATAATTGTTATCTAAATAAAAATCTAGATATTCCCAACACTATGACTAAAATCTAATTTTTGTTTTTGCTATAATTTGAAATTGATAATATGTCAAATATTCTTAATTAGTAAGGAAAAAATTGAATAGATACCTATAGGAAATATTCCTTTACAATCATTCATTATACAATGAATTTTGCGGTTTATTCTTATATCCATTCTGCAGTCTTTACAATATTCATGTATGCAATTATCATAAAACTTGGCTACTGGATTCACATTTTTACAATTTACACATGGCTCTTTAACATTTATATAAAGGATATCAGTTATAAGAATAAAATTTAATATTGATTCTTATGTAATATAACTAGAGATGTGAGTCGGTATTATACATGTGTATTATACGGTATGATACAAGGTATGATACATGCGTATAAAATTATTTTATACCGGCTGTATTAAAAAAAAAAAGCTTTATAAACATTTATATTCTTTTGGATTTTATTTTAATTTAATTAAAATTAATTCTTAGTACTCAGTGATACTAAAATTTATAATCGATAAGGTGCTTAAGTTATTTTTTTTAAGGTAACAAACGTTAATACAATTATAGATTTTAAGATTAATAGTAAGATGCCATATTTTAATTTTTTAATAGTTTATTTAAAGGATAGGATTTTTTTTTGTAGGGAAAAAGTAAGTTTTATTATTTTATTTATTAAGTTATTAAAAATTTTAAGTTTTTAATGTGGTAAAATTCTAATTGTGTATTTATACTTGTTTAAAGAAGTAGAGTTCTGAGACCTTTAACATCATGGGTGGTATCTTATTGCAAATTGACTATAGTTGGTACTTAGTTGATACTAAATCATCCTCTAAAGAAGAATTCTGGATAGAGAAATATCTTAGTTCAATACTTTAACTAATTACTCCCTGAACATTTTGTTTTCATCAATTTTGCTAAAGGCTTTTTCAGTAAGTACTCATTTATTTATTGAGTTTTATGAAAAATAATCACTCTAAAGTTTATTTTTTCCCAAATTTAAAGGCGCCACAAGAATTTATACGGTATTATACAGTATTATACGTATATTATACGATATTATACAACAAAAAAATAAAATACCGTATTTTAACAACTCTGAATATAACATAATTAAATGGATAAAATTGTAATACGTTGAAAATTTATTGTTGGAAACAGTTTTAAAATTTTTCAATTATTATAATGTAAGTGGGGAAAAAAATTAGATCCCAAAATTTTCCACTAACTCCACAAAAATTGTTGATGTATAAGAACATATTTCAAACACTGTTAAATTATATTATTAGACTCTTCCCGACATTATTTCTGTCCATAGGCAGAAATAATAAAAATATTAAAATAGAAATGTCATTTATTAAATTTAACATGTTTTCAAAATAACCAATTTTAAGTTGTTTTAAAATCGGAGATTCTATTTTATTTCAAGTACATAAAAAAATTTAAAAGGTAGGCTAATAATTCGTGCACAAAAACACAACTTACAAAAAATTAAAAAAATATAAAAATAAAATATTATTAATAACTAGATTATTGAAGAATTAAATTATTTATAAAAGTATGTTCCTGTAAAATAAACTATAACAATTGTTAAAATTATTATTATAAATTTTACTCATTTTTGGCACCATCTTCGGAAATTTTCAAAACACCTTTCAAATAATTAATGTTCAAAAAATACATCTGTTTAAAATTTTATTTTAAGTAACAATGTATATAAAATATTATTAATATATTTAAAGATAATTGCAAAAAAAAATTAATTATTGAATAATTTTATCTACTCAAAACAAAGGTTTCAGGACCTAATGAAATACAGAGAAAATGTTTTTTATGTTTTTACTGAACTTTTAAAAAAGGTCATGCATAAAATATAAGGACGCTAAAAAATAAATTTAAGTATTTGTTTAGTAATTATTTTATAAAAATACATAGTTTATTTTATTATTTGCTTTTTAAAGGAATGTATGATATATTCAACTTACTTATGGGTTTAATTGTTGGTATATTATAATCTAGAAATTTATATACATGTAATAATTATAGAGTTTCATTTGAAACTTTTATTATTATTTTTAAATGTAAATCATTTTTAATGCATTATTATATCCTTGAAAAAATTCTATAAATTTGTCATAGAGGTAATCATCAATCATGGACTGCTTTATTAATCACAGATAAGATATATTGGAATTTCTTTTTTTGTTTCTTCAGAGTTCATATTTACATACAAGACACAAAAAAACCCGTGCTCACTTCCAGCCATTACTTTCAATGTTTGATTACTTTAGAAATACTTGTAGGATTTGGGTGGTAGAAATGTAACTTTTCATCTCGTCGAGGATAAAAATCCTTACCTATAATTTTTTAAACAGTTTTACAATTCTTATTTTCTTATTTAGCTAACCCAGAAACTCTCTGAAAATTTAATAATAATAGTATTACACAATTTTTTTGTCCAATAAAATAAGCTGTCGGGTGGCACCACATTTTAATGCATGTAATAACTAATACATATATAAAAAAATATAAAATTAAAAAATATAAAAATATGTCTACAAAACAGTGTTCCCTCCTGGATAAGATAAAAATAATACATAATACCATTTTACACAAAATTCAACTACTCCCTTATGAATTCCATAAGACCTTCACGAAAAAATTCTATTACATTGACCAATTTACCTACATATAACAAAACATATTTTGTTTATTTACACAATTCATCGCAGCTGAATATTTGTCTTATCAGGATAATTAGAGGTAAGTGAAAACATTTATTTATATAATAAATCTCTAATAATACCTTCATCGAATAACTTATTAGTAAGTAAAAAATAAACTAGATACCTTCAAGGAAATTTGATCCATAATCAATTACTGGACACATATTATCGTTAATTATTCTTAGATAATTTCTACAGTCTGTACAATACTCAAATCCGTTATCAAACAACTTAGCTACTGGCCTTAATTTAATACATCTTGTGCATTGCAATTTAATATCTAAATAAAGAATTTACATTTATGACAGTAAAATTCAGCATTGATTCTTTTGAAAGATAAGATAATAAAATGTAGAAAGATTAAATAAAACTTTTTCTAAAATTTTTTTTAGTTTTTCAATAATTTTCGAGAAAAATTTGAAAGTACCGAATTAATATCGTTATTTATAATATAATGTTATTTTTTTTCATCTATATCAACCAAAAATCGAAAATAAATACTGAAAGATGGGTTCAGTGATCCCATAAAAGTATATTCTTCATGTAGTAACTATTTAGATAACAAAAATTCTATCATAAATGAAGTTTAAATAATCATATAAAAAGACATCTAGATATGACAAATCAAAATATTATTGTTATCTAAATAAAAATCTAGATATTCCCAACACTAGGACTAAAATGTAAGTTAATAAATCGTAAAAATAAAAATAAATGTCTTTTAATTGGATAAATACAATTTTTTTATGAGAAATAATATTTTTTAATTCGACATACTTTATCTTACCCCACTGTGCTGGGTTTTTTTTAATATTATATCACCATTTCAACATCAAGGTTTTATACTTGTTGGGTCACTGAGGATTTCAGTCGAAAAGGTTGAAATAAGTTGGGTTTGGGCATGAATTTTTTCTTCTTGGGGTTTAGGGGCGTGAGCCCCCATACCACGAGAGTTCCGAAGGGACTCAAATTGGTCACCGGAGCCGACAGGCGTAGGTGACCACAACTTATATTTAAATGGGTTTTTGTGACTCAACGTTATAACTTTAAGATATTCGTAAAGAGTAACATCAACCATATTTTTTGGATTTTTATACTTTGATACCTCAACAACTTTAAAAAGCTGTAATATTTAAACTAATTAGGTTTATTAGTTTAATTAATTATAATTTGATACAGAATAGGATATTTTATTTTATTTATTTCACAATTATATGTAATAAATTAGTAAAACACCACATCACAGTCTTATTTTTTTCATTTTTGTTTAACTGAAATTAATTGGGTTTCTAATTACCTATAAAAAACTATATAGAAAAATCCATTTTTTTAATGGCTTAATTTTGATATCATTTTGAAAAAAAAATATTATATCATAGCTAAATGAAAGCCCATTTTTTTTGGTAATGCGTAATTTTGAAAAAAAAAAAAGAACAATTTGGAAAATTCTTATTTTTAAAGTTATTTTTGGTATTAGAGTTTTTTGAACCAGGAAATCACGTAATAAGTACGTTATTAAAGTTTCACAATATTTTTGTAAGAAAAAACCAAAAAATGCATGTTACACTGCTTTAAAAGCGTGTTTTTTTAAACTATATTTATTTTTCACTTTATAGTTTCATATGCTATGAAAGCATGTTTTTTAGTTTTTTTTAACTTTATTTATTACTGATTAGTTCAATAAACTAGTCTATAAATGAGTAATTAAAATGTAAATTTTTAAGTAAAAAACAAAAATCTAAAAGGTAGGCTGAAGAGTCTTGCACAAAAACATAACTTTTTAAAAAGGGCCTGTTAAACAAACGATGTTAAAAAAATTAATTTTAGCAATTATTTAGTAATTAATTTTGTAATAATAAATAGTTTGTTTTATTATTTGCTTTTTAATGGAATGTTTGATAAATTCAACTTACCCAGGGCTTTACTCATTGACATGTTATGATCTAAAAAATATATATTTAACTCATAGAGTTTCATTTAAGACTTTTATTTATTTTTTTAATGAAAATCATTTGTAATGCATCAAAATATATATTATAACTATGTTATATATTATGTATTAATGTCTATTTTGTAGTAAAGACAGTAAACAAAGAGGCACAATGATTACTCATAAAAAAAAACTACATTATATTGCTAATTATAATATTGTTTACTTATCAACACATTATACAAGATAATTATTTTATAATTAAACATTATAATTGGATTTTTCAAATTGCGCATGTTTAACAAGCATATTAATTCATTAATAGCCTAATAGAGAGAATGACTAGTCGATAACAACTTTTGGACAAATAATTCAAAAGTTATTAACATTTTTATACCTAGGTGGTAAAAAAAGTGCGGCCTAAAAATATATAGTTAAAAAATACAAAAACACTTTCAGCCATTACTTTAAAAATTCAGAAATACTGGTTCAATCATTTTTATCGATCAGATATTTTATTAATTAGATCATTTTTTATTTTATAATATGGATAATTAAGTATGTTATTATTTAAAAACATAAAGTTGACACTCATATAAGCTATAAGATGTGTATTTAAAAAATACTAAATTATTGAAAAATCGAAAAATATAAAAATAAAAAGTACTAAAAATGATTTTATTAAAATAATCAAGACACTCATATAGTGTATAAAGTGAACATGAAAAATACTATATGATATATAAATTAAAGAAAACGAGTAAATAAATGAAATCAAAAGTAAAATTCTCAATATTATATTAATTTTTGGAATAGTTAAATGGACTATGATAATAGAATTACTTTGTGTATAAATTATTTATTTATTACCATTATGAATAACCATAAATATAATATTTGAACAGAAGATTAAAAAAAATAATTTCTGAAAAATTAAAAATTTTAATTAAAAATAAAATTTACTTTAGTAAAATATTAAATTTTTAAATTATAATTTATAAAATATATTACTTACCATTGTGATGTTGAAAGAAAAAAAGTGTAGTGTATAATGATACAAATAACTTGTTAAAAAGAATTACTATACTTAATTGTGTCAAAGAGTGTTATAGTTATTTTAAAGTGACTATAATAATTGTTATATGATATGTTTATTCAGTTGCAATAAAATATTTTTACCATTAAAAGTAAAATAAATATAGTTTAAAAAAAATGAAAAACACGCTTTTAAAGCATATCAAACTAAAAAGTTAAAAATAATTTTTAGTTCGATGTGCTTTAAATCGTGTTTTTTTAGTTTTTTTAAACTATATTTATTTTTCACTTTTTAGTTTCATGTTATGATAGTAGTTACTATCAATATCATGGTTGTAACGGGTAACGGGAAATCAGGGTTCGATTCCGGGGAGGGTGTCTGAGAAACGGCTACCACATCCAAGGAAAGCAGCAGACGCGTAAATTACCCACTCCCGGAACATGGAGGTAGTGATGAAAAATGACGATACGGGGAATCATCCTTTGTAATCGGAATGAATACACTCTTTATCTGATGAACAATTAAATTTATTTTATGAAATAATAATTTATTGTTAAAGTCAACCTTTCCACTTTTCTCCGGTAGCTTCTGCTATAGCTTTACCTAAAGCCATAATATGCGATTCTTCAAATTCATTTCTTGAATATTTTTGTTCACAGTTTNTTTTTTCCTTGAACATTTTTGTTCACAGTTTTCACAAAATTTTATTTTAATATCTCTGGGTATAACTTCGTAACGATGTATTTTTGTTACAACTTCTTTACAGTTATCGCATTTATCTTTAAATAAAATGTAAGTTAATGCAGTATACCATTATTTTAATTGTATTTATCACTACAAAATGTTTACTGGTTATCTCATACNGAAAAATGTAGAGGGTAAAATCATTGGATATGTATTAAATACTTGATTTCAGATACGCTGTAAGGATGAGAAGGTATAAATTGTTGACGTATTTATCACTACAAAATGTTTACTGGTTATCTCATACATGTGCGATTTACAACAAAAATATGTCAAAGATCTCAAATTTATTTAGTTTCAGATATTACTCACAAAATTAGAATAAAATTTCCTCGTTCCACATAAATGACACTCAAAAATGATATATACAACTTAATTCTATATAACTTATTAATTACTTTATAAATTATTGTTACATGTTATTTTGTTCATATCGGTTGGGTTGGGTCAAATTTTACTCAGCTTATTTTTATATGTATTACAACAATTATCGAGGTGAGAGAAATTCGAATTTCAAAAATCTTATTCTAGACGCCAAAACATATTTTTAGAATCTTAATTATTTTTTATTTAAACAATTATTTTGACAATATATATCATATTTATACTTACATAAATGCATTCCTAAAAAAATGATAAAAAACATCTTTTGATTATTACGTTAAAATATATAATCCAACATTGTGTCGAATGGTAAATATTTAGAATGTTTTATTAATTATTTAAAAAATTAATATTGACTTTTTGTTTATAAAAAACCTATACGTAAATTTTGTTATTTATAATATCGTTAATATTACGAAATTGTTGTGTTGGATTGTATTGGAGAAAGATAAGTAAAAGCTCATCTAGATTACACATAGACATTTAAAAAAAAAGACTGATAGATAGATAGATAGATAGATTCATTATGGAGTAAAACAAATCAAATAATAAGAAAAATTGTTTGACAGCGAACGATTTTGAGTATTCAAAAGTCTAACATTTGTGTACAGTTAATACTATTACTTTCGTCTTATTTATATTATTTATAACTTAACTTGTTTTATTCAACGACCCGTCCATCGCCAATTTTCATCATAGCCAACCAACTCCGTCTCACTTGGATATACCTACTAAGTTAGTTAAAACTGATAAAAGTGGCACGAGTCGATGGGTATCGTGTCTTAACCATTAAGAAATTATTATTTTATAGTGATTTTCAAATGTGGTATTCTATAGTGTATATGATTGAAATTCAATTGACCTTCAATCAAAAAATATTAGATTATTTTTAAAATATAGCTTCTTTTATATGCAATAAAAATGCATAAATTGCAGTAAAAACGAATAATCAATAGTAAACAAATAGCCTTAGTATTGTAAAACATTTTTAATGAGCGTCACTTGCTAAAAATGTAATTTAAATTTACACTTTTTCATTTACAAAACGACCATTAATTTCAAGTTTTTTGTTATAAAAATTTAAGTAAACTAATCTTATAAACAGTATTTTTTATTTAAAAGACAGTACATCGAGAAAAAAATACCACTAGTTTATCGTCCCGCTATTAAAATACTAAAACACAATACGACTATTTTTGGTTTCGACATGTATCAGCAAATTAGAGGCGATCTAAAAAGTAAAAAAAATGATAATTTTATAACAGTTTTAATGATAAAAATGATAATTGGTTTGAATAAATAATAAAAAACGAAATAAACTCGTGAAATTAAAAAAATATCACATTATCTGTAGGTTTTCCAGTTTTTCTCGTTATTTAATCGTTTAAACTAAAAATAAACTGTATCACAGAACTCCCAGTAAAATTTCAATACAAATTGATGGGTCACACTAAAGTGAAATTTTTTTCCAACTTTGAACCCAAAGTTCTGGGGAGGACACGAAAGTTACAAAAAATCGATTGACCACTCAATTTGTATGAGAATTTCGTGGGAAATACTGTTGTGATTATTATTTTTTATTAAAACAAAATTTAAAGTGTGGGAACCGGAAAACCCCCAATTTTGGAGATAGGAAATTTTAGTTTTCGATTTCGCTATTTTTAGGTCCTACTGAATATCATCCTACTATTCATGACATAGCATTTAGTAACACCCTGTATATCTTAAATTAACGATAATTTAATATTCTTTATTATGTAAAAAAAAATTCGGACTTTATTTTGTCTTCACTGTGAAAACATCAAAGTTAATAAAAAAATATACGATTTTTGTAAAATAATTCTTTTTTATATTTTTAACTTTATAATGCTATAACTTATTGAAAAGTGTATGGATCAACACAATTTTTTAATGAGAAATAATAATTATATCCCTTTTTCATTCGACATACTTTATCTTAATCAGGATATAAATAGGAAATAGGAAATATAATAGGGAAAAAAATATTGAAATTTACCGATTTTAAAATTGATATATTATTTGGGATTTCCTTCATTTACAGGGAATGTCGGCATGTTTGGACAGGCTGACCAACTGCCTAGCGTCACAGAAGGGATCGGTGCTGCCTACCAGGCTGAGTGGGCATGAGGGTTGCTTGTAGTGTCAACGAAGGACGGAACAGATATTCTTTTCTATATTTCATATTTATATATTTGTTGTTTCGTTTTTTTGTTATAAGTTATTTTCTTAATAAAGCAAGTTGGTTTGTGTTTGATCATTCATTATAACTAAGATTGTTTTTATTTTATTGCATAGAATAAATTTGTCTATAATAGACAAATTTATAAATAACACAACATTATTGATAATTACATTTAGAGCAATTCTAAATAAATAAACTGCACGAGTTCACCTGCGCACAGCTACGTTAGGCATAATTCACGTCATCAGAAAGAAATAATTAGAGTATGGTGCCTTAACTATATATAATTATTTCCGTTTTATAGTCATCGTTGTCGGCGCACTGCGGTGGTCGATTGACGTCTAGGGCACTCGTGCAAGGCGGTACTCTACTGTTATGTGCCATCTGTACTCTGTGGATACCACGACATATTAAAGGCTATTTGCGCAATATTCACAGATTAAGCTACACGACGTGTAACGCATATAGTATTAATTGTTTAACCTAACATGCAGTTAGGTTATGACGATATTTGATATATTTTACACATGGTAGAGCTTCATACTCTGTTAATAATATTTTATGATTACAGTCCACTCACGAGTATTAACAGGAAATAAGTAGAATTTTTAAATTTTTAGGGTAACATCTTCAACTAGATACGATTTTTGATTTTTTTTGACTATTTGTTGAAAGAAATCGGTCGATAAAACCTGAGAAAAAGTGGCGACAGACATAAAAAAAATCACATCATAGTAAAATTATAAAAGCGTTATCTAAGATATGTTGGATTTTTAATTAAATAAGTGTGATTGTTAGGTCCGCTCGTAGTTTGTTATCAGTTATTGTTCAGTTAGCGTACGGCTTTCTAACGTGCAGTACNGTATAGTTCATACAGTGTATAAAAATAGCGAGGGGTCAGCTTATCGTTACTATACTGTTGATCAACCGTTCTGTCACGAGTATCGATGGTAATATAAGTAAAGCGGCCCCTATACGATCAATAATACTGAATCAATTAAATTGTGTCAATATTTTGTGCAATATTTATTTGCCCTAAACCTCTCAATATTATTGTCCAATATTCAATTGAAAAATATTCATTACCTATGTAATCTCCTATTATCATAGGCGTATATTTAATGTATGTTTACAAAGGCGTAGTGACATTTACCATCAATTTATGTAATATTATAAATTACCACTGTTTTAAAAATGTATCTAATTGATAACCCATAACCACTATTGCGTAATTAAGTACAATATCACATGCTAACGTACAATAATATTGTGTATTGTACAATAAATTTCCAACCCTGTTTGATTTCTTCAATATATTGTACAATCCTTCAATATCTATACTAAACTTTCAATAATATTGTGCAATATCAATTATTGTTCAATATTATTGATCGTGTAGGGGCCGCTTAAGTTGACCTTCTACTGTCTCCGTGTTGATTACCCGCGATATTCATGTATTGTTAATTTATTATAAACGTAATTTACATTTATTAATTTACTATATACTAAAAGTCGATGTCCTAGTTCTTTATAATTAAGCACCTTATAGACTTATTAGTATTATTACATAAGTTCATGTTTCATAAATCTAATAGTAAAAATAATAATAAATAAGTGCATTTATTATCAAATATCCTAACAAGGATTATCCTCTAATGCTAGTCTTAATAATCAATAAATTTAATAATTTACGCAATATTGATGTATCAAAATAGATGATTCAAAATTAACGTAACAATAATTAGTAATAATTTGATATGCGTAGGTGGTCTCTTTTAAACTAGGTCAATGTCTTCAACTAGATTAAATTCGAGTTTTTTCAGTGGTGGATTCAGGGGGCGCTTGTTCCTTCATTGGACTGTAATCGCCTATCGAGGAAACACATGCTCTCCACACATAAATAAAATTAAGTTAATTTATAATAAAATAAAATAATTAATAAAACGCAGCTCACTATATAAATACAATTATAAAAAAAGAAAACGATATCCTGTCTCCGAAGAGACCCATCCTATGGTTTGGATGCTTCTACAATGAATCGTGTAGACAATTCGGTTTTGATATTAAACGTCTTCATTTTTTTAAACTAAATTATATTATATGAGTATAGTATTTAAATATTCGTTGTAGTAGTATATTCGATACACTAATAATTTGAAATAATATTTGTTAGTGGTATTTACTTATTACTGGTGAAATCATAGAAAAATGAATAAGACATATCATGCGCACTAATTTGATCGAGCACACTTCTTATTCATTTTACTATGGGTAAAATAGTGATATCTGTTTATCACAAAATAACCTTGTTATCAGCAATAATACATTTTTATACCAACATACATTAAAACCCAACCAAACCCAACCCAACCCAACCAAACCAAACCAAACCGACAGATCTTTGTTGTGTGTATGATTGGTAAATGCGTGTAATATATGCTTTTTGTTATTATGTGTCTACATCTATCGGTTAGAAAAAGCGTTATACTCTATTAAATATTGGTAACCGAAGGGTAACCAATATTTGTTAGTGATAAGAAGTTGGTGGACCACGAATTGGTAGCTTCACACTCGTATTTATATTACATTTAATGAGTAATTTGATGTGCTTTATCAATTGCATTTAATTTTGCAAAATAATATATTATTGAGTCATATATTAGTAGTACGTTTTACGTTTTAGCGTTGATTAATAACAGTATAACTATGTTATCCAGTAAATTGCCGCGCAATTTGATTAAGTTTAACAGCGTTCCAATACTCTTCTATCACAAAAATGTAAGTATTTAAAAATTCCTAATATGTATGAATTTTAAGATTTTAAATTTTGATTGAGGTTAGCTAAGCTATTAAAAATATTAAATATTGGATATTTATATACACTTTATGAATTATGGCAAAGATATAATTTTTTAATGTATTATGTGTATTTCTGTTTCTTTCTGTATAATAAGACCTATCAAATATAATAATATAAAGCATGTGTAAAAATTAAGCTTCTGTAGGCTATAAAAGTAATTATTAATCCAAAATTGCTGTTTAGCATGTTGGACAAACCTTGAACAAAATGAATGGTTAAATAGATCTATGGGATACTAAATATTATTAGTGTCAATTATCAACAAAAAAGTTTTTAGCTGTATGGCCTGCCTCCAATATTTTTCTGGTGGTCGATCTACTTTCACTAAAACTTATGTGAAATTTGTCTAGAAATTTATTAAGAAATTTACGATATAAAAAACATTAGAGACTATTATTCAAAATAATAAATTCTTGCAGTAAGTTAAGTGAAAAAAATCTTTGTATTCAACTTGTAAAATTTTTTCTGTTAACTGGTTCTTCTATGATAATATTTTTTAAATGTTTTTGAAAGTTATTTTTAGTAATGACCCTTTTTAGCTTTTTGCAAGAGTTTGATATGATTGATACTCAAACATTATACATCTTTACTCCATAATTCAGTTAGAAATATGTTATATCTTGGATAGCACATTCCTGACCAAATTTTATAGGCTATTTTTATCTAATTTTTTTAGATTAATTGGAAACTGATTGGTTTTTAAACCATGTTTATAACTTAGTTTTTTTAAGTTTCTGAATGATTATAACCAAAAATTTGTTTGTCAATGTGGAAAAAATATTACCTCATAATTACTAAAATCAGAACATATAACTAAAAATATTTTTGTGGATAATTAATGCTATTATAGTATTTCATATCCAACAGAAGACCAAATAACCATATTTCGTTTAAAAAGATAAAAAAAATAAATAATTTGCTCAACTTGTAAAGTTTAGGATAGTAATTACTTTATAACCAATAGAATTATGGAATCATAAAATTTTGGATGTGTCATATATCATTTTATTTGATTATGTTTAATATTATGACAAGGTACTATACTGTAGCTGTAGCAGAAACTAATTGTGTATAGTATTTAATAGGTTACATCATTATTATTTTAAGTGAAAAATTAATTTATTTTGAATATTTAGGTTATTGATCATTATGAAAATCCCCGAAATGTTGGTTCATTGAATAAAAATGATAAAAATGTTGGTACAGGTTTGGTTGGTGCCCCTGCTTGTGGTGATGTTATGAAATTGCAAATTAAAGTTGATGATGCAGGTAAAATTGTAGATGCTAAATTTAAAACATTTGGTTGTGGTTCTGCAATTGCATCAAGTTCACTAGCAACAGAGTGGGTTAAAGGGAAAACAGTTAGTATATTTTATATTAATTTTAGAATTACAATTTAACATTTTTTTTTAATATAAGGTTGATGAGGCACTTTCATTAAGAAATACCGATATTGCTAAAGAACTATCTTTACCTCCAGTAAAACTTCATTGTTCAAGTAAGTATTATTTTAAATATTAAATGTATTAATAATAAAGTATTGTATATATTAATGAACATAATATATCAATCTTCTGTGCTTTCTAAATTATATGTAACTAAAATACCATGGGTTACATACATTTATGTATTAAGGATATGAAAACATCGCAAAGAGGATCATATCTTGATAGAAGTTATTTTGAAATAAATAATTTCAAAGTTTTAACATTCCATAAGAGTTACTTTGTTTTATTATTTATATTAGGTTTAAACTAACTTTTATGTATTAATTTATCTATGTATCTCTGATTTAGATAGAGAATAATGAACTATGTAAAAATATCAAATATCACAAATTTTGATATATGTCCCTGTTACAATCATAGTGTGATATGTGCCTATCATTTATACATTTTTATTTGTTAAATTATTCAAGACGTTTTATAGAATAAAAAATCTCTGAAGCAGCCATTGAATACATTTATAGAAGGTTTTTATTATAAGCAAATGTTAATCAAAGGACTGATTTTCGAAGCATTAAAAAAGTTTTTGGATGTCACAAGTCATGGAAAACTGAAAATTGGTTAAATTAAATAAAAAACTGAATCTACATTCCCACATTAATTTTTTAAAGATATATTTTTTCCTTTAAAGATAAACTTAATGAAAAACTGTAAAATTAGATTTTTTAAGTGCTTATAGCTTTTTTTTTTTTATTGATTTATCAAAAATTACCAAGTGCAGATTTATATAATTTTATCATGTTTAATTTGAAGTATTATTCATCTCTCTATCATTACTCAGTCCGTTAGAATCTGTGATATCCTTAGACATGCTTACCATTATATTTTTTTAAATTATTTATGTGGTGCAGCTTAACTGAACTTGTCAAAATTAATTAACTACTAATATTTAAAATATTTTTTACTTATTCACCTTTTTAAATTTTTTTTAATTTACAAAGATTTGTCAGTAGTACTTTAATTTATGTTTAAGTAAATTTATAAATGATGATAAAACAATGAATTTATTTAAAGCTAAACATTATAATGATATTTTAATTATCATTATTAATAGGCATCATGATAATAAACATTTTAGAAAATAAGATTTATAAAATATTTTAGCCTCTCAAAAAAATGTTAGCGAGGTTTGCTACATGAACCTATATTTTTAAAAGTGTGGGTCATTGGCTTTTAAAATTGAACTTTAGATATCTTTCATAAGTAATTTTAATCCTAATGAACTTATCTGATTATTGAATTACTTACTCTACTTATTTTTGTCATACTAATTTTAAATCATATGCTTAGTGTTAGCAGAAGATGCTATAAAAGCAGCCTTGTCAGATTACCGTATTAAACAACAAGAAAAAAAAAAAAAAGAAGATGAAAAATAATACCTTACTTTTTTTATTAATTGATTTTAGTAGTAATATTTTTTGTTAACTATATATATGTATAGATATATATAAAGTAATATTCACATAAATATTCATGTATTTACAAATATATACATGAAAATTATATAAATTATAAATTGCATAGTTAGAATCATTCACTTGTTTTTTACATTCTTTAAATATATTATTTTTGATTATTATTATACAACCAGTTTTCTTATTCTTCCTCGCCCCTTAATCCTAACTACCTGGGGTCAGCCATTCTTATCCTAAACTCATACTCTATACAGGTGATTTTTTTATCATAACCCACTCAATTGCTTGCAGAATAATAATAATTTAAACATTTTTTTTTTTTATTATCTTTAGTTACACATTATTCTTGAATTTTTAACTATGCAATACTTTTTAAGTTCATCCCTTATGCCTTGTAAAGGGGTCAACTTTGTTTTTTTAAATGGTAATATATATTTTTAATATAATTTAATTCGTTTATTAGATATAATCATTTAAAGTTTCAAATTTTTGAGTTAATATACAAGTATATTACTCAAGGGATTACAAATATAGGTAGCAAATTGATTTTTTATGACATTGCTGTCATAGTCATGGATTGTTTATTATCAATTATAACTATTAATAGATATACTTTTTGTATTGTCAGTTAGTGTATTTATAAACTCACAACAATATACCTTACTATCATTGATAATAACAATACTGTGAACCTGCTAATATCGATTTCATAAAAAATCAATTAGCTACCTGTATTTGTAATCCCTTGTGTATTATACCTGTATATTAACTCAAAAATTTGAAACTTTAAACGAATTAAATTATATTAAAAATTCAAATGCCATTTACTATTAAATTAAAAACTCAAACATTTTATTAAATTAAAAATATATGTTACCATTTAAAAAAACAAAGTTGACCCCTTTACAAGGCATAAGGGATGAACTTAAAAAGTATTACATAGTTAAAAATTCAAGAATAATGTGTAACTAAAGATAATAAAAAAAAAAAATGTTTAAATTATTATTATTCTGCAAGTAATTGAGTGGGTTATGATAAAAAAATCACTCTGTATACTTTGTCTTACTTCTACTTATCCTTAAACCCTTTTCTTCAAGATCTGATCTCCACACCTCTAGCCTTTGATTAATTTCCTATTTTCAACTATTAACACTATATCATCAGCAAACAACATGCACCATGGCACTTCTTGTATTTCTTTAGTAATTTCATCCATCACTATAGAGAATAAGTAAAGGCTTAAAGCAGAACAACCTTGGTGCACTTCTACTCTTACCCGAAAACCTTCTGTTACTCCTCCTGTGCTTTTTACCCTAGTACAAGTGCTATCATATATATCTTCTATTATATTAATGTACCTTTACAACCAGTTATTTATTCAATTTTTTCATTAATATGTAAGTGTCCCATACAATTTATAGAATAATTAATTACTTTAATGTATTTTTTCTTTTTTACTGCGTATAAACATTAATTTTTAATATTCTCATATTAAGTTAAAATAAAATTTAATTCACAAATTGAAATAATTCTATATTCAAAGTGATCTGTATAATATTTATGCTTAAGAAGCTAAAACTTATTAGTATCAAAAACTAAACTTTATCGTAACATAGTTAGTTTTTATTAAAAAAATAAACTATTATTATATTTTGTTTATCTGCACATTTGATTTATGTATATTTTTTTTATAGACTATATAGTATACTAACTCCATTTATTTTAAATTTTTTAATTTACTTCATAGACTTAAAAATTGTTTTTTTAAAAGAAAGTAATATAAAATATTTGGTCTCTATGATATAGATGTAAGGTATAATAAGATAGCTTTATTTAATATAATTTTTTTAACTGAACATATACATAAAACATAATTAACCTAAGAAAATTGATTTTTAAATCATGTAGAGCTCAAATAATATTTAAAGTTAAATTATAATTGCTCTAAACTAAGCTATCTTCACACAATTGTAGGTTATACATATATGTACATCATTTTAGTTTATATACATAAAAATTTTATTTAAGTAAAAATAAATATTATAACATGATCTTTAAATTATAATTGTAGGTTATTAAGTAAATTAGTTAAAAGTTATCATTTTTTCAACATATAATTCACAATATGCCTCAATAGAATAATTCACCTAAAATAATAATAAATGAATCAATGAATTAAAGATTAAAATAATCTATAATTATTAAATAATATCAATCAATTCAGATTTCTTGTAAGAAATGCCAACAAACATTCATACATTGTAGTAAAATAAAATAATTTCTTGGATATAAAGACTCCTAACTCTTTTATAACATTTTCCTTAATTTTTTTAATCTACCAAAATAATTAGTTACTAATTAATGTAGATTTATTTATGCATAAAATATATGGATAAAAATAAATTATACATATTAACATTATTATTTTGGAGTTTTAAAATATGTAGAAATTAATGGCATTAAACAGAGATCAGTTTATAGAAAACCACTTCAAATACAAATACTCAAACTGAAATCAAATATTATGATTTTTATATACTTTGAACTTTGATAATTAATCTAAGTTCAGATTTAACAGCTTCAGTCATTAATAGTTAATCTTTTTTCTTTGGCTTTTTTGGATTACGACTCCTAGATTTGGCTTTACATAAAGGACATATTGGAGCATTGCGATGTATTTGTTGATGACATGATAAACAAGATTTCATTGGTGGTGGTTGTTGCCTGAAATATTAATTTATAATAGTTATTGTAACATCTTTAATGAAAACAACATTTAAATGTTTTTTTTTCTGGCCGAGAATTAAGTAATTGAATAACTATTACCTTACTTTACATAATTTCATTTATAAAAAGTCAACATAAACTAGATAAATATGACAAGATAAAAATTTTTCTAAATTTTCTGTTGATGATAAAAGAAGTTATTTTAGTTTTATTGTATTTTCTTATAATAATAATTTACTAGCAGGTTTTTTCAAATAAAATTGTTATTTTTTAAAAAGTACTTTAAATTTTGAAGACTATATTTTTCTAATAAAATATTGTAATACTAACCTGAATGTTGGTGGTCCAGGAATAGGTGGTATTGGTCTTGTGTCAACAGATGTACCATTAACCATTTTACTACTAGTAGCTAACTGTTGTAAGGGTGAAGACTGAACAGCAGCTTGAGATCCTAGGAAAGCAGCAACGGCTGCTTGAGCATGTTGATGAGCTTGAGAAAAATTTAATGGTACATTATCTCCACTATGCCAATCAGAATTATTTGAAGCAGATACAGCAGGTTTTAATTGCTTATCAAAATAATTTTGCACAAAAAGACTAGAAAAAAAAGTTAATTAAATTTTTTTAAATAAAAAAAAAATGATTTGAGATATTGAATAATACAACCTTTAACAATTTACATTAAAAATGAATGATATAAGTAAAACATTCATTGTCTATCACAAGTTGAATAAATGTCACCTCTAAATTGATATTTTTCTTAATTATGAGAAAAACGTATTTTTTAAGTACAGCTTAGAAATAGTAGTGGATAGGAGAACCACAGAAGCTATTTATATATACTATTAAAATTAGTGATGATTAAAAAATAAAGTTTTTAAAAATGATCAAATGGTAAGTCTTGCCCATCTTGAATTTTATTTGTATGTAAAATGGAAGTGATATTTTGTAAAAATATGTATAATTTAGTCAAATTATATTATTAATTAAATTTAAAGCTATATTTAATATTTAAAAAATGTATTAAATTTAAAATATTGTATGCTACCGACCAGTAATGTTTCAAAACACAGCTATTATTATTAAAAAACTCCAATAAATAGTTTTATATATAAATGTGGAATTTTGAAAAAATACATATATAAAATATTTCTATAATTATTAACAAAATATGCACTAAAAAAAACTGAATACTGAGTTAATTATAACCGATTGATTATTACATGATTTAAATAAATTGTTTTCTTTTTTGTATTTAGGAGTTATCTTTTGAAGTGGATTTTTTTTTTAAAGTAAAATTGAGTTTTTTTCTTTTTTTCCTTTCTTGTTTGTCTTTAATTCTTCTATTTCTTTTATCATTTATTTTTCAAAATTACTGTTGTTTTCTAAAATTCTATCAACAAGCATACCATTGGCTTACTACTTTAACTATGGAGTTGAATATAATATATGTATATTATATAATACATATAAAATAACATATTTTTCATAAATATCTACCAGTAATAGATTCTTGCAAGAATAAAGTGGCTCTGAAATATTTGTAAATTCTTGAAGTTTAAGTAGTCTCAACTAGTGATAGGAAATATTGAATAGTAACTATGGAACTATTCGATAGTAGTCCACTATTCGAACTATTTGAATAGTAAAAATATTCGATAGTTACACATATATTCAAATATTTATAAAAACTATTCGATAGTCTATTCGAATATTTAAAAAAATATTTGATAGCCTATTCGAATATTTTTTAAAATATTTGAAAATACCCATCACTAATTTTTTTTATTATTAATTGTATCCTATTTATAATCGTAGTACCCTGAATAAACAGTTTTAAAAAATCTTATTTAGTCGTTAGTGTTATTAAAACAGCAAAACTATAAATCTGACTATAATTTTACATAAGACCAATGTTTTAAAAAATTTAACTTGACATATTTTATTTTACGAAACATTTTGTTGTAAAATGATTATTTCGAGAATTAAGAATGATTTATATTCAAAAAATGAATTTTAGCAAATTATTTTTTTATTTAATTTTTTTGAGCAAGTAAAAATAATTTTAGAAAATTTTTGTGAATATAATTTTAGAAGAAAATATTAAAATCTATAATTTATATTCTATACATTGTTACGCTAAGTGTTCAATAATTAAACGACTAATAAAAATAGTTCATATAATTTTTAAAGAGGAGCAGTATTTATTGTTGTCGCCACTTTTACAAACGTAAAAATTTAAAACGTGCTGTTCTCTTTATCGGTGTTATGCCTTTATATGACAAAAGAGCAGGTAATGCTAGACTAAGAACAGTATACAAGGTATTAAGTGTAAAATAAGACTTTAGTATTTACGAATACTTCTGTTGCGCATAGAACAAACCTTTCCGATAAAACTGAAAATATATCATTAGTCATCGGAAAAAAGAACTGCTTTTTAATTTTCAACCATATTTATCAATTTTTACCAACGACTCACAAACTAAAAATAAATAAAATGGTACTTTTTACTGTAATTAATTGTATAATAATTTATTTTAAGTATTCATTAATTATCTTCTTATTATAATTAAGTGTACTTAATAAATATTTTAGTTAGAACTAATCGAATATTTTTTAAAACTATTCGATAGTTTATGCTAAAAACACTATTCGGCTGTAAAAAAACAATTCGAATAGTATTTGATAGTTTTAAAAAACTATTCAATACTATTCGATAGTTCAAAATATTCTAAAATGCCCATCACTAGTCTCAACTACTGAAGTATTTTTCCCACTTTATTTCAATTTTGCTAATCAATCCTAGTGAAATCTTTTTTTCTCTCTTATATTCTACTAGTTTACCATTTAGTATACATATATATATATATATATATATATTTTGTTTCCTATTTTAGCTATACAATGTTGTGCTCATCCCATAATTTCATATATAACTGTTTTTAATTAAAATATTTATTTTTTTGTGAAAGGGTTAACAAGAATTATTACTTGACATCATATTTCAAATAATGACAAATCTGAAATAGAAATTTCTATTATTTCATGTGCGACAATCTTGTGAGGTTTTGCTATATACTGGATTCAATTTCATAAAAAAATCAATAATATATATTGAGCATTTGTCCAGTGTAAAATTTATTAAAATACAGTTGGGTTTCTTACCAACAATTGTTCCTTTAACCAAAAAATTAAGTTCCGATATTGATGGTCATTTTTGAATATCATTTTCATTTTGTATAATTTCATTAGTTGAATTTTATTTTAACTATTTTTATGGTTTATTTGTTATAAAAAATTTGTTTGTAATTATAGCTGTTGGATTTGTTGCTTGGATAACTGCATTTATTTAGTATTATTATTTATTTAAGTATTATTTAGCAAATTTTGTTTAATATGGATTATTTTAAAAATATGTGTTTACTCTGAAATATTGAATATTATTTTTGGCTTCTGTTTTAATATTGTTACATATATTAATTTCTTGTTATTAAATAAATCAGCTGTAAACAATTTCATATTTGGTAATCTTGAATAAGAAAAATTTTTCATCGTTGAATTAACTTTTTAATACCCAGTAAATACAAATCTGAATTGAAGATATTTTTATCGTAATTTGTCACATTAGTATTTACAAAATTATTTCATACCCATTTTTCTTTGTTGCTAGTCCTTGTTATACTTTTGATTTTTGTATATATCTTTTTGGTATTTTATTTTTTTACTTCGTTATTTTTACTAATTAATTTTTTTGTTAATATTTAACACAATAAAATAAAATTTCGCCAGCAGTTTTATCTGACACATGAGTTAATGTGTATGCATGTTACATGACAACATAGCAGTAGATTCTTTGTGTACTGCATAAATCGATTAAGTCTTTGACTGTAGTTAATATTTATAATTTTGATTCATTAATGTGTATGAAACATACACGTGACAGATGCAGTCGAATTTTTTAATTTATTTAACTTTATTTAAGAAGCTTTTCATCAAAAATATTGCTAGTACAAAATTGATTGTATATTTTTCATATCATATTATTAAACTAAAAATAGTGATTCAAATAGGGTAACAATATGCTTCTTTATAAACATTTTAAATTTTAAATAGTTTCTAAGAAAATGAATGTCATATCCTTAATCAATCACCCTTTTTTAATGGAAAAAAAAAAAAGAACTATTTTTATGGTTAGTAATTTCTTCAGTAAGTACTTATATATAGTATTAATAGTAAAATATAAAATATTACAAACAAATACACCTGAAGTTAATAGATAAAATAAAAATTACTTAATAAAAAGTTGAATACACATTATTATGTATTATTTTTATGAAATCACTTAATCATACTCAGTGTAACATTTAAGAAGGATAGATACCACTTTAACTAAATCTATCATTTTTTATTTTTAATATTTATTTAAGTTATATATTATTGATTTTTAATATTGATACAAAACTATATTTTAGGAAAACTTCTATTTAATTTCTTTCTTTAAGTATTTAATACTTTTAAAATGTATTATTTTAATTTTAGATTAAATAAATATAATTACTTATTAAATGTTTATACTATATCATCAATAAATTCATAAATATAATAATTTAGAACTTACTCAGGTCTGACAAGATCTCCCTCTTCTTCATGAAGTTCTGGTAATCTTTCAAGACCTAGGAGATCTCTTCGCATTCGATCAATATCCATTTTTAGAGGTTTATATTCATCATGTACTTGTTTAGCTCGTTCCATAGAGCGATTTCTAGACTCTTCTGCTTTTTTAATAACACCTTCCATCTAAATAAAAATAATATTTTAAAACCATAAATAAATTAATATGTTGAACAAAAAAATAAAAATAAATAACTGCATTTATATCTGCATGTATTTGTCTAAGTTCTTCTACATGAGCCATTTTTTCTTGTAAGAGAAGTTCTAATTCTTTTCGATATTCATTGAGACATTTATCTTCTTGGTCACTAGCTTCGATTTCTTTCAAAATATTCATTTTAAGAGACTCTAATTTTTCAGTTTTATCCCTAAAAGTTATTAAAATTTTAATCAATTTTTAGATAGAAGTTAAAGAAATTCAAAAGTAGTTTCAACTTTTACAGAGAAGGGCAATTCTTAAAAATTTTTTAGTATTTTCATTTTAATAAACAAGAATAATAATAAAACATTATTAATAAAAATAAATAATACAATTTAATGTTAATCATTTACAATTAAGAAAATTAAGAATTACACTTAAGAATAACAAACGGAAAACAGTACGAAAAACTATTAGAGAAAAAAGGAAAAAAATGGATTGGCCATATAATTTTATTTTATAAATACCATATTGTTCTCAAGTATAGTTAAAAAACATACATATATAACTATATATTAAGAATAATAAATATATGATTTTACCATACACTAAGTAAAATAAAATGTAAAATCATAATCTATAAAAGATTTATAGTACACACATATAGTTTACAATATTTCATATATTATAATTAAGTAAACATGTAAAAGTAGGTAGCAAGAAATGGTACCATAAAGCAGTTTAGAAAGAAAAGAGATATTAAAATTTTTATGGGGAGAAGATAAAAAGGTCAAGTTTAGTTTTATCTAATTGTTATTCAAAGTATGGAAATTATTAATATTTGAGGATACTTTAAATCCTATAAAATGAAGAAATTTCAATTTTTTCAGCTTGAGAAATTAAATAGGAGCTCTATATAAATCCATATTCTAAAATTGAGCGAACCAAGGCAAAATAAAAAGTATATATTATTAAATGAAGAAGATCTAATTAAGATCCTATTGTCCTATTTCACTGTAACAGATATACTCAGTACAGGTTACATTGAAAAATAACAAGATTACAAAACAGAATCAACAATAAATAATGAGAATTGCCAAATTTATAATTAAAATTTATTTTATTTTCTGACCTACAGAATGAAATTATTAAATTCATTCTGTATGATGTTGCAATCAAGTTTACTTGTAATTGTGAAATATAATTTAAGGTCATCGGCAAAAAGTTTGTAATTGCATAAATAAAATCAGGAAACCAAATCCATTAGGAAAATTAGGAATAATCGATGAGTGACCTCTTTGTGGAATTCCAGATATAACAAAAAACTTAGAGGATACGTGAACATTAATTTTTATGTATCAATCTGAAACCTATTGATTAGAAAAAGAAAGATGTTTAAAGATTCGGAAAGATTAGGCTCTAGGAGTTTTTCAAGAAGTTTTGGAAGAGATGAAATTTATAAGATAGGCTTATAATTAGATATATTGTTTTCTACACTATTTATGTGTTTTGGAATAATATAACAAAGCTTTCAGAAGAATAGGAAATATTCACTATTGAGAGACTAATTAGAAATAAAAAGTATTGGGATGGATAAGGCATACTTATAAGATTTCAGTAACATTTCTAAAACTCCATCCGAATTAGGTTTAGGATTGGAACTTAAAGTATCTATACTTAAAGTATTTCAGAGATAGAAAATTGGATATCAGGTAAATCAAATATGTTGGATCGATGGATACTGAGGCTATTTAAATTTGGAGTTTTGTTAGAAAATAATGTAATCTAAAATAATCTTTAAATAAGTTTGCTACATTAGTTTTAAACTACTGTTTAATATCACATTTGAATATACATTATTATAATTTTTTTAAATTATTTATGGAATTATTAATTCTAAAGGATTTTGGGTTATGAGAAAAGAAAAATTGAATGTTATTAATATAAGATTTATAATTTTAATTTAGACTGTAGCTTACAAAAATCTCTCAATTTAAAAAATTCATTGTAATATTTACAATAATTTGTAGTTTTAAACAATTAATGAATTTTTTTTATATTTTTAAGTTTTTTACTATACTATGATGTAGAAAAAGACATTTTTAAAAAACATAAAACTTAAGAACAAATAACTTAATTGAGTCATTTAAAATATCATATAATTTATCAACTTCAGAAGATATATTTGGTTGAACAGAGAGAAGGGATTGCTAATTAATGGATCATAAGTAGGTGTTCATTAATTTATAATTACCTTTAGAAAAATTATACTCCTAAACTACTTTGTTTAAATACTAAGTTTATTTTTGGACCAATTAAATGGAGTGGAGGGTGTGATATGTTTATTCTGACTAAATGAAAATAGTGTTAGATACGGTTAATTTACTTCTATTGAAGAAAATCAGATCTAACATAAGATATTAGAACAGTGGTTTTTAGAAAAATTGAACGTTGAAATAATTGTAGTAAAGCTATACTCTTCTAGTAATTTAGATTTAATTGATTTTAAACTAAAGAGGTTAGCATGGATATAAGAGTTGATGCAATTAGTATTATGTAGATTAAAATCATCTGAAATTATAAGCATCAGGATAATTTATAGAAAGATTTTCAATGGAATCATGTAATTCTCAAAAAGGTATAAGGTAAAGCTTGGATGAATATAGCAGAATTGCAGTATTCAATTTTTATTTACAACAGTAATAATTACTGAAAACTGTTCACAATTTTTATTTGTAGAAGAGTAATTGGGAAGAAAAATGTTTGTGTTTTACAATTAAAATATCTTCACTTCCTAACATGATTACTTTTTTTTTTGGATTAAGTATAGTTTGACAAAAATAATGATAAACCATGTTCTGTCCTTATTTTCATTCTTGTAGTCACATATTTTTTTTAATAATGTCAACGATTGCCTTTGATACTGAGTGAGATCAGCAGAAATTCAAATACTTTCATATTTAGGGACTTGATATAGTTGTCATATGGACTTAAGCACTGTTAAAACATCATCATCTGAATTAAGTATAACCCAAATCGATTTAGCTTAATAGTTGGTTTACCTATGGAAACTTTGAGCTTGGTTCTAAAGAAATCCTATAAATAACTTAGTCAGTTTGATCATTTACATTAAAAATAAATAATATTGCAACATTTGGACTCATGTACTAAGTCAATATTTAAAAGATTATAAAATGAGTTTTGAAAATTACTAACATTATTGCAGATTTTGGAATGTAAGTTATCAATTTCTTTTTTTTATTAAGCATTTCCTCTTTGAGCTGTAGAAATATCAGAAGAAAGAGATTCAAGTCTATTTAAAATAGTAAATGATGTATTTTTTTGAGTAATTAACTTATTTCTTATGGACTTTTTTCAGTGTGAAGAGCTTTTTTAATGAAGACATAATGTCTATTAGTGAGGTTTCATCAGTATTCTTATATTTAGTGCTAGAAAAAAATTAGATTCAATTGATGAAGTCTAAGACAAATTTTACATTCCGTACTAAATAAATATAGATAATAGCTATTGAATCAACTATGTTGATCATGTGGACTCTGCTTTTTTAAAAAACTGAGATTATTTGAAAGTGTATAAATAATAATATGGAAGTGTACCTTTATTTGAAATATATAACCAGTTTTGAACTTTAGTAACAATAAAAGAAATACTTATCAAAAATATAATTGGCAAAAATAATTTATGGAAGAAGAATTTAATGACTTAATATGTAACAGTGCAAGAGACAAGCAAGTATTTGCGAGGGATTGAGACCCAATAGTCATTGGGCAATTATAAGGATTTTAAAAAATAAGATAATAACCAGAATTTTCAATAAAATGTACAGATGAAAATAAAATAACTGATCAAAACGAAAATACTCAGATTGTCTTTTTTCTCACGTTGTAGTAAAATTTAATGGTTTACACTGAAAAAATTACCTTATGTCTTTTAATGCATCTAGTTTTTTGAAAACTTCTTCACTTTGCACTTCTTCAGTCATATTTACTGTTTATTTTTAACAACTTGATAATATTAATATAATCTAAGAGTAAAAACAACAAAGACTCTTATAAAAATCAATAGCCAAACGCCCTGCTAATACCGCTACCACACCACAGGATGAGTATTGTCGCAGTCGCGGCTCAGAGATACCATCAGGACTCAGATATACTTACAAATAGGAGATGACCACCGGATGCGGTTTATTTGTTTACTTTTTAAAATGATAAGGGTTATCAAAGTATAGCAAATTAATTATTATATTAATAATCTATTTCATTACTTTAATAATCATAATGTAGTTTAATGCTATTTATTTTTAAATCCCCCATTTAGTTTTTACTTTTCAAATTTTAAGTTTTAAGTTTTTACTTTTATTTTTAAGTTTTATTATCAAAAAAATTATGAGCTTTAATCCTTGGCAAATTGAAAGAAGTAACCGTTGTTTCCATGGTAGTTGTATACTATTCCATGATTAGTATTGTCACTGTACGTAACCTCAGCTGATTTATTCAATCGCTAAAACAAGTTCGTGTCGTCAGCTCTGCGGACCCGCTTCTCATCCTTTATTACGTCTCTAATTTTCAGTATATACGCGTTGTAGTTTAAGTATCATTATCACAATTATTTGTATTGTCGACAATTGTCGTTCGTTTAACTAGTAAATACTCTTGGCCGACTACGTTATTATACGCAATAGATTTTTCAATAATCTCCTTTTTGTAACAAATTCTAAAACGTAAACGCCAACAATGTTGCTGTTAAATGCAAGTGGTGCATTATTATTTTTCACACTCGCATATTCGCTGGCTACTGACGTGAAATTTGTGCCCGACACTAAAGAACATTATAATATAAGTAAGTATCAAAATTAGGAAATTATCATTATTATTTTCAAAGTCAGCTATTGTTAAGCCTTTTAATTTTACTTAGTATGAATTTTTTTTTTATTCGAATTTATACTATTTGTAGTTGACTATTATTATATGGTGTTGTATTGATCAATTGGACTTTGATATACAGATAGTTTACTTGTTTATCTACATAGTGTCTGCCTATTGTGTATTTACATGACTACATATATACTGTATATAAAATAACATGACTGTTGTCTGTTTAGTTTCTGTTGACTACTCATATTGTTTTGTTCAAGGTCAAACTTTTAGTCTACAATTTGCTTTAACAATGTACATACATGAGCAACAGTTATTTTGTTGAAACAAAATGTTTCTTTGGTATTGCTATATAATTTGAGCTACTAAAAATGTTTTTGCGAAAATTTATAGTTTAAAATTTTTAGTGCTGTTTTATTGTAACAACTAGATGAAAAAAAGTATTGTTTACTATGACTAAAATGACTTCTTATTCTTATATCTAGTTTTGATTTTTATGTAAAAATGTTCTTGTTGTCCAAGACTTAAAAATAATAAAAGAAAATATATGATTTTAACTTTCTACTTTCTTTTAAAGTTGTATTTAAAGAAGTCTTATAACCCAGTTTAATTCTATGATAAATAATGAATATTTTTGTATCTGTCTACTCAACCACCAATAACTAATGTAAAGATTTTTTGACCATATAAATATTAATTTTGTAAATTTTTTTTAATTTGTTATATGGCTCTCTAAAGACAATTTTTTTTTTTAATGGGTAGGTTTCTTAGTCTGAATGATTCTTAGTAGAATCTAATTACTGAATTGATTTCTCATTCAGTATTCTGATGTCACTGAGCACTTAACCATGTTTCAAATCAGTGATAGTTTGTGTAAATTAATGCTTTCTTACTGTTTTTTTAAGCTACCAGACCTAGTTGGTGGTTGCCTTTGTTTAAAATGTGTTAAATTTTTTTTCTTATTAAATGATAATTTTGGGAAAAGGGGACATTTAATTCTATGTACTATTCTGGTTCTTTGTACACTGATTGCTTGTTGCAGGTCCGTGTTACTTGAAAATTTGTTTTATATAATAACTTTAAAAAAATCTTGATATTGAGTTATTTATTGTTATAAAAAATGTATCATAAAAAATAATTGTATATTAATGAAAACATTTATGTTATTTTTACTGCATTTATATTTACATATAATTTAAAATTTAGATTAAGTCAGTATAATAATGTAATTGATTTTTATCTTATTTTCAAAATTACTTAATAATAAATTTATGTTTTAAACTTTAGGCATTATTCCAGAACCTGAATCAACAACTAATTTATCAAATACAACAGATCCTATACCAATTACAACTCTAAAACCAACTACATCAAAACCTTCTACCTCTACAACACAAAAACCTAATATTACAACCACCACTGGTAGTCCTAATACAACTACATCAACAACTCCTACCCCTACAACACCAAATCCTAATATTACAACCACTGTTAGTCCTATTACAACTACACCTGAACCATCTCCAGAGCCAGCTCCAGCTAGAAACTGGGATGGACCTAGCTTTTTAGGTAATTTAAAGTTTCACTGTATTTTTTTTTTATATACAAATATTATAATATGATATGTATTTATGTTATTTTAGGTGGAATGGTTCTAGCTTTTGGAATTGTTGCTGTTGGCTTTGTTGGTTATAGATTTTTCTATTTAGGACGTGGTGGGGCTTACCATACATTGTGAATAATGATTATCTGATGAGAGAGAATCAAATAATAAAAAGAACAATAAGGTCTTTTCGTAAGAAATATATTAAATTTAATCATAAAAACTATATATTTGTAAAATACATTATTGATAAATGTTAATCATTTTATTTTATAGAAAGCATATTATATAGTGCTGTTAATTTATATTTATTTATGTGTATCAAGTTGAAATGCATTATTTTAAATTAATTTTTTGAAAATTGTACCTACTGTAGATGCAGTATAAATTGTTTTTCTTTTTACTTAATATGGATTAGTCAATAAAAATCTGACAAAACTGTTAATCAATAATTTTGGTGATAACTAATGTAAAATTATTTTTAAGTATTTTTATACGTATAATTAAACGCTGTAAAGTATCACTAGCTTGTTTTTAATACAGAGTATTTTCAATTTGATAAAAATATTTTAATATTTAAAAAAAAAAAATTGAAACGCTCATATAATGACATGATAATTCTTAATCAAATAAAAAATTGTTCAAATTATTAGTTTTAAAGTTCTTATTTTTAAGAATAATTGTAAGAGTGTAATAATAGTAATTCATATGAAAAAAAACCATTTTTATTGTAATTAGTGGTTTAGTTCAAAGTTATTCTAATAGTAAAATAGCCTCAGCCAGAAAAATTAGCATGAGTTGCATGTTGAGTTTTTAAATTTAATTTTACAATCAATATAATTATCACATTAACTTATTACTTTCCTAGTTAGGATAATTATTTTTATGATGCATTTGATTTCAAAAATATTGCTACCTAATGTTCTTGAAAAGTGAATTATGTCTTATGATTTGTATTCTTTTATAAATGTTCTTAACTCCAATTCTATCTAATACTAAATTATTATAATAATATGTTGTTAATTATTAATTAAGCTTCATTTGTATATCTAATCCTTGCTAGTATGGTTAAGATATCTTATTGACATATTACAAATGGTTTATTCTCATGTGTCCAATAAGCCAGACACCTATCCCCTTTACCGTTTCTAATATAAATTAAATTAAAATTGAAATATGTTTTTAATTCGGTAATTATCAATTATCTGATGATGTCTTAAAAATTAATGATATTATAAACTGTTGTCAATAACGTTTGCACCCCCCAGAAATTTTTTCTGTGCATAAACATGTACGTAAAATATCAAAGATTAATGTATTGTGATCTGTAAACAAAATAAAATTAAAAATCAATACATTAATGCGCTTACTAAATGCCCATATTTTAAATCAAAATTATCGAGGCTAGTTTAATAAGTCTTAATTATAATATTATACATTAGGCTTCATCTACCTTTTCGTCGCGAAAGCCTCTTTAGGCCATCCTCATAAATAGGCCACTGATTCTAGTAGGAGTACGCGGCTACGACAGACGTAATAAGTGCTTGCAAAAAAAATGTTACACCAGAATCGTAGTACCAAAAATATATTAAAAATTTAATTATTAAAATTAGGAAAATTCAAAATGAGAAAATAGTAAAATGTATTAGGTATAAGGTTGACGTTTGCTTACTGAAGTATTCATCAGGAGTGTACTTCAGAAATCATTGTAAGAGGGTTTATAATTTTTTTTTTTAGGTAAACATATAATAAAAAATTTTTTGCAAAAAATCAAATTGATGATCAAAAAAAAAAAAAGTTTTTGAAATATATTAAAGCAATATTTATTAGTTATCAGTCTTAAAAAATGTGAATTTACTTTATTCTTTTAGATTGCTTGCGTAAAGATCGTCGATAGTCAAAATATTAAGTATGTAACTTTCTTAAATTTCTTCAATATCGCATTAAAATGTACGTTATGAGAACATGGTACGTTGAACAGCATAGATTTCATAGATAAGTTTCAATTTCTAAAAAAAAAAAAAAAAATTGATTTAAAAGATAAATAAGATTATTAATATACTGTAAATTCCTAATAACGTATGTACAAAATTTTATACTTATAACCGTGCTGAAATTTAAATATAAATATCAAACATTCATTGATAAAATAAACAAAATATATTGCTGTATATATATGTCATTAAATTTAACTAAATATAACAACCAATTTGATTTGTAAACTTCTTTAAAAGAAATTGATAGAAAATAACTATATACTTAATGAACCAAACATGTAGTATATAATTAACAAAATATCAGCAAAAAAAGTTACAATGAAGTTAGAGAATAATCTATCCATTAATACATATATGAAACTAACATGTATTAAATACGAATAGAAGTGAAAATTCAAATCGATTTAAAATAACATTTATTACATATTAGGGGCCAAAATGTAGACAAGCGCAAAAGTAAGCCAATACCCTTATTAAAAAAATTATTATTACCCTGATTAAAACATGCGCGTAGATATCAAAAAGAAAAAACCCAGCACAGGGGGGTCGCGGTAGTATCAAGTATTATGATAACTGACAGTGATTAAAATCAAAAATAAACGCTTCGATGCAAATCTTTGAATTGTGTTTAATTTCAAAAAAATTGGTGTATTATTCCAAAAGCTACATGATCTGCTAGTTCCTTATTCATATCCTCATTAAGATAAAGTATGTTGAATGAAAAAGGGATTATTAAAAAATATTATTTCTCATAAAAAAATTGCATTCATAGTAAAACCAGTACCTTCTCAGCTTCGCATCGAAGCTAAAATAGCTAGTACAAAATGAACGGATTGAATACATTTTTAAGTTATCACAGAAATATCATTGGGCGAGTATGATAAAAATTTCAAACCATAAGTCATATAACGTCAGCGAGCGTTTTTCTCAAAAGCTGTCGAAATTTTATAATTTTTGCGTTCGAGTGGTAAAATTTTCCGATTTTCTTCAATAGTTTTTTCCGGAATCTCATGACCAAGTACTTTCGCGGAAAAAAAAATTAAGTATGGGGAGCACGCCAACTAATTTCTTCAGAAAAACGTTTTTTTCTTGTTCTATTGAGAAAAATAAGAATGTTTCGAATTTATTTTGATAATTATTACATTGATAACAAGTAATAATTATTTATTCTATTTTATTATTCAATAATTTTTATTAAATTTTTTTTTTAGTGCTTTTATCAGCTCAATTAAGGGCCATAGCGGCATCTCCCAAAAATCTCCCAATCTTAACCATTTATACTCCGGGACGGGTTGTTAGTCCATCGCCGGAAAGAGGAGGATGGCGACTCCAACTACTAAACAGATTGTTCGGCAAATGAAGCTGTTCGTGACCGAGGTACGAACCCGAGACAGTGAGCGCCAAGCACTGCTGCGTTACCGACTCGGCCCCACACCGTCCTCATAAATAAATGTTATATAATCTAAAATTATATTCTATACTCATTAAAAATCGTTTACAAATGGCTTGTGTTAAACATTAGTTTATTTTAAATTTAGTAACCATTATGTTTTCGTAATACTGTTTATATATTTTTTACAAATGAATGCAGAATATTAATAATAATAATATCATTATTTGTATTGTTGCAAGATTACATTTATTAAGGCCTTATCATACCTGATAAAATAATATGTTAATTACACATTTCGGAAACAAAATGTTTGAGTTTTTAACTTAATTCTCCCTCCCTTAAATATATTTCTACATAATTTTCATGATTTTTGAGGGGAGTTCTGCTAGATTACGTCAATTGTGGTATTTTCAACAAATACTATGTTATTTATATTTGAGAGGTTAGAAAGGTAAATTAATTATTTTCGAAATATACCAATATATCAGAAACGGATAAGAAGGTTAAAACCGACGAGGAAGAAATAGAATTTGGTCGGTTAAATTTAACCTCAAACGACAATCTATTATGTAAAAATAGTACTAAGTAAAAATAGAAATCGCAGTATTTCAGTGGCCTAACCAACGTTACAATCTATGTAATCTTTTAAAAATAAAATAACCCTTACAATATAACTTTGTTACATGTTTAATTAAAATGGCAAATACAATTTTTAATCCAAAGATATTTTATATTGTGTCATTTAAATAAAATTTCACAATAGAATATAGCACGTAGCTCTTATACAATATTTATGTTTATAAACATACAGTTAATTAAACTAAATTTTTAATAGAAACGAATAATAAATTAATTATTTGCTAACATGGTACTGTTAGAATAAAAAGGTCATAAACAGAAATGTATGATATTCTTATAAATATATATAAGAAAAATAACAAAATAAAAAATATTAATTACGATTATATTCGTTAAAAACTTTAGTTGCACTGAGCGTTTATGTTAAATTCTTTAATTGTTAAAATGATATATGGCTCATATCTAAAATAAGATTTAGATTTCGAGCAATAAAGTCATATATTAAAATATTATTAGTATTACATTTTGGTCACATAAATAATTATCGATAAATTTAAAATTTTGAACATTTGCTTTCATCGATGGAGGTCTTATATTATTTTGACATGGCGATACACAAATTATTTGCCAAAGGGTTCATAAATAGATATGAATAAAGTAGAACTTACAAATTTTAAGAAAAGTTATAAAGTTGGTTTTATATTACTCGTTTCTTAGTTTTGAAGCGGTAGATAATTAAGTTAAATATTAGTCCCGTTAAAAAAATGAATAAAACTAAATTTATATACTTTTTTTTTTCATGTAAGTTTCGAAATTATTTGCACAGTTTTGTAATTACATAGTTGAATTTTGAATATATTTAAGAGTAATTTCAGTGAAAAATAATAAAAATTCAGTCTGTCGATTGTATCAAAATATGAAATTAACATAAGTAATTTTTTTATGATATTCCATTCAAGAGTAGCTTAAAATTTTTATACTTTTCATCAAAAAGTATAAGGTTTCGATTGTTTTAAAATCTAAGTTGATCATTTTTGTTTTAATTTCGTCTGAGCACGTTTCTTCTATTAATGAGTAAAGGTCTGGTGTTAACGGACATCCGGGTTCCATTTCATCAGAAAAAGCTTGACTAACCTCATTGCACTTCAAGTACACTGTTCGTTCCGGTGTGGCCATCACCATTTTATAGTGACCTCCCTCGCTGATCTCTTTCATCTGAAACACCATAATGTCAGGCCCAGCGTGTACGTTCCACCGGGACGCAATGAACTGATGAGTAGCGCTTAACACGGCCATACAGTGATAAGTATGCCGTTCGGCTACTGCGTGTTTTGGCGGTCGGTTGCCATCCACGTAAAGTTCAGCGTCAGGTGCTGGAAACAAATTGATACCGCCACGACTCAGAATTCGCATAAGTCTTTCAGGTCTATAATATATACCGATGATTTCTTGTAGAGCTGCTGTGGTAGCATTTTGAATCTGTACAACGGCCGCCAAATCTCCACGCACGGAAAATTCAACAAGCACCGTAGCTGCTGTTATTGAGAGTATCACACCAGTGTCAGCAGCTACTCCTTCTGGCCGAATTTCCCAAGACTGAAATGGAAAATTCGAATAACGGTTCACGGCTAATCCAAAAGATCCCATACGACCTGTCCGAAACGAAACAGTTTGTTTTTCGTCGTTGAATCTATAAGATAAATATAATTCATAAAAATCGGAAAAGGAACTTTTAGTTGATATTAATAATTCATTTTTTATCATTTAATTTAAAGATATTTGACGATTAAAAAATTTATGTAGCATTATTATTATTTATTTATTTGCATTTAACGTTATTGTTAGAAGCTATTTCTTGTGCCAGAGAGAATTGGAAAACAGCCTATTGCTACAGAATCGAACCTCAGTACTTATGTACCAAGGCACGACATTTCTCGAATGAACTAGGTTGCCCAAGTCTCTTGAAAATAATGTCCGAACACTCAAAAAACATTTTTTTTTGCTAATCACTGGTGAATATATGTTATAAATAAAAGCGTCATAATACCTATGTAATACAATATGACGGATCTTAGATCATTAAACTTTAATATTAGTTATTAAATAATTCAGGAAGACATACTTTAAAAAGAAAGAAAATTATACATATACAGTATACATTTTTAAGTATACTATTCTCCATTTTTTTGTTATATAATAATTTTTAATAAAAATGTATAGATTAAAATTAATCATTTTTTTTTATAAGCATTAGTCAACATCAATTTTATTCTAAATACTAGGGTTACATTTGATAGTTAAATGGGAGTCTATTATTATTTTTTTAATATTAAATGGAGCATAGTCTAAATATTATTTTGACTGGTCGATCAACCAGTTTTGTATTATTACTTTCTGAAAAACTAGTATTTGAATATTTAAAAAAGGTCCTCTAGTAGGAGGAAAAAAAGTAGTGTTTAGCAGCCACTCTATTTTTTTACTATAACGCATAGTTAAGAATATTTCTATGTTGCGCACCTGTTCGTCTATAACTGAAAATTATAACAGCTCAAAAAGTAATACTACAATACTGGTTATCGACCTGTTATAATTTTATTTAGATCATTATAAATTTCATAGCAAAAAACAATATTAGGTTATTTAATTTTCCAAAGTTACCCCTAAAATCTACCCTTTGCAATATATTTTTCTTGCAATAAATTTGATATTTACAATGGTTTTTAAAAATTAATTATTTAAAAAATGTAGGGTAGTATGGTTAATATTTTATATTGTATATATATATATTAAAATAGTGGTGCTATACACCACGAAGCAAATATTTTATGTTAGTCTTATAGTTTTCGTATCATGTTTATTAATATAATTATTAAATTGTAAAAGAAGGGAGTACCTTATGTCATGTATGCAATCAGTCGTCCATACTTTTTTATTTTCATTCCACATGGCCGGTTTTGGATTTTCGAACCATAGCATGTTCTCTGGTAGCTTGATTGTTATTAAGACGAGTCTCTGAAGAGCTTCTTGATTTTGTTTTTTTATATCTGTCTCTTCATCTTCAGATGACGTCGAGGAAAACATCATCGATGACAGCTGCAATGGCTCATATTTTTCAAAATATTCTAAGGGTTGAAGTACTGGTGGCCCAACTAGTACCACAACTATTGTACCATCTTTATGTTGAACTGGTTGCATAGGCAGTTTCCACATTTCTACATTAAATGCTCCTCCAATTATCCAGTATCTAATAATATTTCAAAACATAAAATAAAGATATTTTATGCCTCAGTGTTTCTATAAACTTTATATAATGTAAACTTAAGAAAATAATTAAATTGGATTTAGAATTAAAAATACATTTAAAATATTTATTTAAAACAAACAAATATTTAATTTAAATATGTACATGTATGTAAGTAGCGCGATGATGGTAACATTGTTTCGGAAATACGTACATGCGATTATTTTAGTAATTTTTGTGGCTTTTTGAGTTTTTTTTTAGTTTTCAATTAATGTTTTAAATATATTTAAAATGTATAAATTATATAAGCCACAAGTGATCAATTCTTATCTTATAATTAAAATAATTATTTTTGTAATTTATTGAAATATATTTACCTTCTAGGATTGAGTTCATATGCTTTTTCAGTATACTTTAAAGCTTTTAAAATTTTTTCTTTATTTTCTATTTCTCTTCTTTCGAGTTCTGCGCTTAGAGTCTTTTTAAGTTTAATTGAACTTGTTAGTTGTACATTAATTTTTTGAATTTGGTTTTCTTTTAATGGTGTATTTGTAACGTGTGGTATTCTTTCTGACTCATTGTCAATTTCTTCATTAATAACACTTTCTTCTTCTTTTCCATCTTCTTTATCATCTATTATAGATTCTGTAAGAACAGATATTAATGGTTTACCTTCAATTTCTTCTAGATATGTTTTGAGATCGTCTGGGTAATAATTATGGTCAACATTAGCAAATACTTTGAATTTTTCAGCCATTTTAGACAACCATAACATATGTTCTGCTCGCGTTTTCTCTTTATTAATTTCTTCTATTAATCGCTCCTTTTCGTTCAATTCATCCATCAAAAATTGGTAAAGATTACGGTTATCCGAATCTGGTAATTGAGAAACATCAAATTCCGACATTCTATCGCTAAATGGATCCCATCGTAACCACAGTGCCATCACTGACATGTAAGTTTGTGATAGTTGAGCTGGGATTTCTACTGATACAAGACAATCAGGAAAGTCACACTTAGGTGGATCTCGATTGTCTGTTAATAACCGGGGCTTATGACATACTGCAAATAAACCTACCGCAAAAGCATCACATAACTGCTGATATCCTACAGTTTCCAAATCCAACGGTTTCATCCTGCGTTCATAATCACTCAACAGCTGATAACAAGTACTATATACGGTTTCTAATAAAAGTTTTCCCAAGTTGTCTCTTACTTCACGAAAACACTGTAGTTTGAATTTATCTAACAAATATAAAAAGTAATGTCAGGTGATTTATTTAATTATTTTTATTTGCTACAAAAAATTAAAAAATACATTCTCACAATCCGCCGATATTTATTTTATTTTACGATGTTTTTTCATAACTATTTAAACATTTCATTATTAATGAAATCGTATTGTCCCATAATAGAGTTAACAGAGTGATTTTTTTATTAATATTAGCCACTTAATTTATCTTAAAATAATAATTATGTTAAGAAAAATACTATTTATTATTTTTATATATTCGTCGAATTATTAAATATTAAGTTTTTNATCATTATTTGTATTGTTGCAAGATTACATTTATTGAGGCCTTATCATACCTAATAAAATACTATGTTAATTACACATTTCGAAAACAAAATGTTTCAGTTTTTAACTTAATTCTCCTTCCCTTAAATATATTTCTATATAATTTTCATGATTTTTGAGGGAGTTCTGCTAGATTACGTCAATTGTGGTATTTTCAACAAATACTATGTTATTTATATTTGAGAGGTTAGAAAGGTAAATTAATTATTTTCGAAATATACCAATATATCAGAAACGGATAAGAAGGTTAAAACCGACGAGGAAGAAATAGAATTTGGTCGGTTAAATTTAACCTCAAACGACAATCTATTATGTAAAAATAGTACTAAGTAAAAATAGAAATCGCAGTATTTCAGTGGCCTAACCAACGTTACAATCTATGTAATCTTTTAAAAATAAAATAACCCTTACAATATAACTTTGTTACATGTTTAATTAAAATGGCAAATACAATTTTTAATCCAAAGATATTTTATATTGTGTCATTTAAATAAAATTTCACAATAGAATATAGCACGTAGCTCTTATACAATATTTATGTTTATAAACATACAATTAATTAAACTAAATTTTTAATAGAAACGAATAATAAATTAATTATTTGCTAACATGGTACTGTTAGAATAAAAAGGTCATAAACAGAAATGTATGATATTCTTATAAATATATATAAGAAAAATAACAAAATAAAAAATATTAATTACGATTATATTCGTTAAAAACTTTAGTTGCACTGAGCGTTTATGTTAAATTCTTTAATTGTTAAAATGATATATGGCTCATATCTAAAATAAGATTTAGATTTCGAGCAATAAAGTCATATATTAAAATATTATTAGTATTACATTTTGGTCACATAAATAATTATCGATAAATTTAAAATTTTGAACATTTGCTTTCATCGATGGAGGTCTTATATTATTTTGACATGGCGATACACAAATTATTTGCCAAAGGGTTCATAAATAGATATGAATAAAGTAGAACTTACAAATTTTAAGAAAAGTTATAAAGTTGGTTTTATATTACTCGTTTCTTAGTTTTGAAGCGGTAGATAATTAAGTTAAATATTAGTCCCGTTAAAAAAATGAATAAAACTAAATTTATATACTTTTTTTTTTCATGTAAGTTTCGAAATTATTTGCACAGTTTTGTAATTACATAGTTGAATTTTGAATATATTTAAGAGTAATTTCAGTGAAAAATAATAAAAATTCAGTCTGTCGATTGTATCAAAATATGAAATTAACATAAGTAATTTTTTTATGATATTCCATTCAAGAGTAGCTTAAAATTTTTATACTTTTCATCAAAAAGTATAAGGTTTCGATTGTTTTAAAATCTAAGTTGATCATTTTTGTTTTAATTTCGTCTGAGCACGTTTCTTCTATTAATGAGTAAAGGTCTGGTGTTAACGGACATCCGGGTTCCATTTCATCAGAAAAAGCTTGACTAACCTCATTGCACTTCAAGTACACTGTTCGTTCCGGTGTGGCCATCACCATTTTATAGTGACCTCCCTCGCTGATCTCTTTCATCTGAAACACCATAATGTCAGGCCCAGCGTGTACGTTCCACCGGGACGCAATGAACTGATGAGTAGCGCTTAACACGGCCATACAGTGATAAGTATGCCGTTCGGCTACTGCGTGTTTTGGCGGTCGGTTGCCATCCACGTAAAGTTCAGCGTCAGGTGCTGGAAACAAATTGATACCGCCACGACTCAGAATTCGCATAAGTCTTTCAGGTCTATAATATATACCGATGATTTCTTGTAGAGCTGCTGTGGTAGCATTTTGAATCTGTACAACGGCCGCCAAATCTCCACGCACGGAAAATTCAACAAGCACCGTAGCTGCTGTTATTGAGAGTATCACACCAGTGTCAGCAGCTACTCCTTCTGGCCGAATTTCCCAAGACTGAAATGGAAAATTCGAATAACGGTTCACGGCTAATCCAAAAGATCCCATACGACCTGTCCGAAACGAAACAGTTTGTTTTTCGTCGTTGAATCTATAAGATAAATATAATTCATAAAAATCGGAAAAGGAACTTTTAGTTGATATTAATAATTCATTTTTTATCATTTAATTTAAAGATATTTGACGATTAAAAAATTTATGTAGCATTATTATTATTTATTTATTTGCATTTAACGTTATTGTTAGAAGCTATTTCTTGTGCCAGAGAGAATTGGAAAACAGCCTATTGCTACAGAATCGAACCTCAGTACTTATGTACCAAGGCACGACATTTCTCGAATGAACTAGGTTGCCCAAGTCTCTTGAAAATAATGTCCGAACACTCAAAAAACATTTTTTTTTGCTAATCACTGGTGAATATATGTTATAAATAAAAGCGTCATAATACCTATGTAATACAATATGACGGATCTTAGATCATTAAACTTTAATATTAGTTATTAAATAATTCAGGAAGACATACTTTAAAAAGAAAGAAAATTATACATATACAGTATACATTTTTAAGTATACTATTCTCCATTTTTTTGTTATATAATAATTTTTAATAAAAATGTATAGATTAAAATTAATCATTTTTTTTTATAAGCATTAGTCAACATCAATTTTATTCTAAATACTAGGGTTACATTTGATAGTTAAATGGGAGTCTATTATTATTTTTTTAATATTAAATGGAGCATAGTCTAAATATTATTTTGACTGGTCGATCAACCAGTTTTGTATTATTACTTTCTGAAAAACTAGTATTTGAATATTTAAAAAAGGTCCTCTAGTAGGAGGAAAAAAAGTAGTGTTTAGCAGCCACTCTATTTTTTTACTATAACGCATAGTTAAGAATATTTCTATGTTGCGCACCTGTTCGTCTATAACTGAAAATTATAACAGCTCAAAAAGTAATACTACAATACTGGTTATCGACCTGTTATAATTTTATTTAGATCATTATAAATTTCATAGCAAAAAACAATATTAGGTTATTTAATTTTCCAAAGTTACCCCTAAAATCTACCCTTTGCAATATATTTTTCTTGCAATAAATTTGATATTTACAATGGTTTTTAAAAATTAATTATTTAAAAAATGTAGGGTAGTATGGTTAATATTTTATATTGTATATATATATATTAAAATAGTGGTGCTATACACCACGAAGCAAATATTTTATGTTAGTCTTATAGTTTTCGTATCATGTTTATTAATATAATTATTAAATTGTAAAAGAAGGGAGTACCTTATGTCATGTATGCAATCAGTCGTCCATACTTTTTTATTTTCATTCCACATGGCCGGTTTTGGATTTTCGAACCATAGCATGTTCTCTGGTAGCTTGATTGTTATTAAGACGAGTCTCTGAAGAGCTTCTTGATTTTGTTTTTTTATATCTGTCTCTTCATCTTCAGATGACGTCGAGGAAAACATCATCGATGACAGCTGCAATGGCTCATATTTTTCAAAATATTCTAAGGGTTGAAGTACTGGTGGCCCAACTAGTACCACAACTATTGTACCATCTTTATGTTGAACTGGTTGCATAGGCAGTTTCCACATTTCTACATTAAATGCTCCTCCAATTATCCAGTATCTAATAATATTTCAAAACATAAAATAAAGATATTTTATGCCTCAGTGTTTCTATAAACTTTATATAATGTAAACTTAAGAAAATAATTAAATTGGATTTAGAATTAAAAATACATTTAAAATATTTATTTAAAACAAACAAATATTTAATTTAAATATGTACATGTATGTAAGTAGCGCGATGATGGTAACATTGTTTCGGAAATACGTACATGCGATTATTTTAGTAATTTTTGTGGCTTTTTGAGTTTTTTTTTAGTTTTCAATTAATGTTTTAAATATATTTAAAATGTATAAATTATATAAGCCACAAGTGATCAATTCTTATCTTATAATTAAAATAATTATTTTTGTAATTTATTGAAATATATTTACCTTCTAGGATTGAGTTCATATGCTTTTTCAGTATACTTTAAAGCTTTTAAAATTTTTTCTTTATTTTCTATTTCTCTTCTTTCGAGTTCTGCGCTTAGAGTCTTTTTAAGTTTAATTGAACTTGTTAGTTGTACATTAATTTTTTGAATTTGGTTTTCTTTTAATGGTGTATTTGTAACGTGTGGTATTCTTTCTGACTCATTGTCAATTTCTTCATTAATAACACTTTCTTCTTCTTTTCCATCTTCTTTATCATCTATTATAGATTCTGTAAGAACAGATATTAATGGTTTACCTTCAATTTCTTCTAGATATGTTTTGAGATCGTCTGGGTAATAATTATGGTCAACATTAGCAAATACTTTGAATTTTTCAGCCATTTTAGACAACCATAACATATGTTCTGCTCGCGTTTTCTCTTTATTAATTTCTTCTATTAATCGCTCCTTTTCGTTCAATTCATCCATCAAAAATTGGTAAAGATTACGGTTATCCGAATCTGGTAATTGAGAAACATCAAATTCCGACATTCTATCGCTAAATGGATCCCATCGTAACCACAGTGCCATCACTGACATGTAAGTTTGTGATAGTTGAGCTGGGATTTCTACTGATACAAGACAATCAGGAAAGTCACACTTAGGTGGATCTCGATTGTCTGTTAATAACCGGGGCTTATGACATACTGCAAATAAACCTACCGCAAAAGCATCACATAACTGCTGATATCCTACAGTTTCCAAATCCAACGGTTTCATCCTGCGTTCATAATCACTCAACAGCTGATAACAAGTACTATATACGGTTTCTAATAAAAGTTTTCCCAAGTTGTCTCTTACTTCACGAAAACACTGTAGTTTGAATTTATCTAACAAATATAAAAAGTAATGTCAGGTGATTTATTTAATTATTTTTATTTGCTACAAAAAATTAAAAAATACATTCTCACAATCCGCCGATATTTATTTTATTTTACGATGTTTTTTCATAACTATTTAAACATTTCATTATTAATGAAATCGTATTGTCCCATAATAGAGTTAACAGAGTGATTTTTTTATTAATATTAGCCACTTAATTTATCTTAAAATAATAATTATGTTAAGAAAAATACTATTTATTATTTTTATATATTCGTCGAATTATTAAATATTAAGTTTTTTTTAATTCATATCTTTTTTGTTTAAAGTACTTAAAGATGTATCCATGTTTACAGTCGAGTTCTAACGTTTCGGCTCATTGCAGAGTCCATTTTCAGAGTAATGATTGCTAATTGGTGGCTGCAACTATACTGACGCCTTATCTTGATAACAGTCTGCTTTTATACAATTGATAACATCTGGTTTTTGATTAATATTGTTGTTTATGGAATTGTTGACATTTTGGTTTTCCTTTCCTTTACCGGCAATTGTCTATTACGTTGGTTGTAGCCTCTTCGTATATCGAATTATTTTCGGTGTTGTTGGTTGATTTTCTTTTTGTCTGGTATATGATAGGTAACCAAGTTTTGCTGATTTTCCATCCATCTTCTCTGTTTAAATTTTTCGGACATTTTTCGATTTCTATTGCTTCCTTGTACACCAGTTTACCAAAATTAGTTTCTTTGTTCAGTATTTTTACTTTATCAAATTAAATGTCATGTCCTCTATTATAGACATTTTCAGCTACTGCAGAATTTTCTATTCTTTGGTACTCCACATCTTCTTCATATTCCTTTATTCTTGTTGCAAAAGCTCTTTTTGTTTGTCCAATGTAAGATTTACTACATGAACACGGTAATTAATATACTCCTGGTGTTTGCATTTCTGGCAGTTTACCTTTGGGTTTTGGAGTAGTGATTCTGCAACTGTGTTTGGTTTGAAGACGGTTCTTAATTTTTGTGCGATTCTTGATATGTGGTCGGTAATTCCTGTATGTACGGTAGTATTAATGTTCCTCGTCATTATTNCAGTATTAATGTTCCTCGTCATCATTGTTACGCGTTGCATTTTTTCTTTTCTCTGCTTTTCTAATTGCCTTATTAATATTTTTAATTGTGTATCCATTATTCTTTAGTTCTTGTTGTAAATATGTTTTTTCCTCATTCACGTGGTCTTTATCAGCTATTATTCCTAGTTGGCTTGTTGTAGTTTTTCTACAAAGTTCGTCGAGTTTTTCACATTAGAAGACGTATATCCAGTACCGATTTTCAAAATTCCTGTTAAGTCACCTTCCAAGTTGTATGTCTCAGAGTTTATTTTCACTTCCTCAACCCTTTACATTTCAATGTTAATAACTTAAATAATAGGTCAAAAGTTGTTATCGATCAGTCATATTTTTAAAGAGATCATTTTGAATTTTTATAAAATAGTTAAATATGTATAATGAAAATTTTAATATTAAAAGAATGACTCTGTACAATTATTTTTCCTAATAAATGCAAAGAAATTCTTTAAAAAAGAATGACATTTAAATAGCCTTCATTCTTTAAATTTAATACAATAGACCTATCGGGGAAAAAAATATTTGCACGCAGCCTCGCAAATTGTTCTGCCGGCACTGAAAAATACTAAAAAAACTACAAAATTATTTGAATAGATTATCGGACAAAAATTTGACATTGAATGTATTTATCAACTGATGATTTTGTTAGAATATTTTAAACTTTATAAATAATCTTAATCAGAATAAATAATTAAATAGATTAAAAAAACACTCGATGGAATGGTAAAACACACTTATGTTAATAAAATTTTTAGTTAGTTAATTACGTTGATTAATCACGTCAAAAGAAATGTATATTAATAGATCATTCATCAAATAAACTTATTAAAAAAATATTTTTAATGAATTAATTAAACCTTTTTATTTTAAAAATAAAAGAATTAATGTTCTAATTGCCTTAAAAAAATACCATACTGAAGTTTAAGGGCAAGTCCACAATATCATCTACGGCATCCATTATATTAAAGATTTCCAAGCACTTGGTTACAAAATCATTTACATTCTCTCCAGTCTTGTACATTTCTCTCCAAACAAAAAGGTATGTGTTGAGTTCTTGCACTATTCTTGGATTTGGTGTACCGTCGCAACGTACTCTGTGTTCCCAGTCTAAATTTTCGCGGTAATTCAAGTCGTGGATATATTTTTTTTTTGATAACCATGACAACATTTCACAGGTTTGTTTTAAGCGATCCAAACGAATCTAGATAATAGCATTTGTTAATATTCATTTTAAGGTTATGCAATCAATGATCGACTATTAATTATAAATTTTCATGAATGTACTTTAGGTCTTAATTTATAAATGTAGTGTAATATATTTTTATATTATTTTAAAGTAAAAATAAACAAAATAGAAAATTGTGAAATTGAAAAGTACATATATTATACTTTTAAACCTTCTGAATTGAGTTCACAGTAGTTCATGTATACTAAAAACAAAAATAATTAATATAATTACAGCAATCGGCATAATTATAATTACTACCTTGTAAAATAGTTTAGATATACAAACTGTATGCTCTTCAAAACACCAAAATCAAAATTTATTTAAAATTGAAAAATATATAACATGTCGAAAATAAAAGTAACTAGTGTTAAAAATCAAGTAAGTATACTTTTTTTCATGTAATTAATAATTTATTTATATTGAATAATTTAATTTATTACTTTAATTAACATTATAATTTTATCAAACAATTTTTTTTTATTTTCATAAAAACTTATATTTTTATATAAACAATAAGATATTTATTGTTTTCTTCATAATTTATCCAAATATTAGAGTATATCTATGTTTTTATGGTAAACAATTATAGAAGTGTAAAAATTATAGTTGTTTCAAATTTTGAGAGATCCACACTTTGTTTTCTTTAAATGGCCAAAATATTAATTTTTGAACGTTGAAAATTATTATAATATTTTTTTTATAAGTCGAAAACTATTACTGTAAGAGAAATATAACAATAGTTATAGTGCAACGTTTAATTCTTTTTTTAAATAACGATTTTGCTAAACATTAATGGTTTTGTAAATATCAATCTTAAATTTTGCTCAAATCAATAAGTATAGCAAAATAAAAAAAATTAAGCAAAACCAAATCATTTACAGTTTAACTAATGAAAATTTTTATTTATAGTATAACAATTAAATATTTATATATAAAGGTCCAATCTAGCATAATATTATATAACATAAATAATAAAAATAATCTATAGAAAATCATACAATTGGATTTAATATAAACGTTGTATTACAATGTGACATTAGAAAAAAAAATGTCTACTAGTTAATAAAAAAGATTTACACTTTGATTATAGAGTTATCAATCTTTAGAAATTTTGTAATTAGTTTTTTTTCTTAACAATTAATTATTAATTAGAAAAAGTTGTTTTATTAAAAAAATTTATATTATTTAAAATTTTATTGAAAAGTAAACTGGATTTACAGGAAAATTATTCTTGAAAAAAATGAATTTAAAAAAATGTACCAACCTTATGTATATCAGACAAAATAGAAATTTTATTATTTGATGCATTTTCCGAAGGTCTTATACCTGTATTTTCAGAGTTCTTATGTAAAGTATCATTTTGTAAATTTGAGTCACTGACTGCTAATTTTTCCATTTGGTAAACTAATTTTTCAAAGAATTAATATAAACTATTTATTTAAAAATTATTTTATATTTTGTTGGTATTTAATCGAACCATCTTGTTAGACAAATACTTCTAAACGTTGCTAAGCAACTGACATAGCTTAATTATAAAAATATAGTAATCGTACACCACTAGAATTAAGTTATAAAAATATATACCTTTTTTAATAATCTGTTTAACTTTATTAAAATTATTTTATTTGACGACGGGAATCTCAATTTGGATAGAAGTATTTTGTTAATGCTGAAAAATAAAACAAACATTATAATTCAAATATAAAAATCTTCGTATATTACGATAAATTAACATCAACATATTATCATAGTACATTTCGTCTACTTTAATAATAATTAAATATCAAAAATAATAATTAAATTAAATAATTACTAAAACAATAATTTATTCAATTAAATATAAAAAAAAATCAATGTTTTTTTATAACCTGAGACAAAGTAGATTTTTGCCAGTTGAAATTAAGCGATTCTTCTTTTTTTTCTTCAAAAGCGTCTTGGTTTCTTTTAGTGAACCTGAAACATAAATGATATTTATACATACATCCAACACGAAATAACTATTACAAGTCGATTAAAAAAACTTACCCGAATCCTTGCAGAGTCGATAAAATCTCAAGCCTTTATATGCTTTTTCTTTATTTCTGCGGTAGGTGATCAATTTTTCACGTATTTTTTTATCACTACGACAAAAATTTCTCCATCTTTTTGAAACGCTGTTAGCGGCATTTATGTCGGCTCCATTCAAGTATTTCCTGTTGTTTTACATCATAAATTATTAAATAATGAATTCAAATTTGATTGTTAATGTAAAATAATAAAATTTTGTACTTACCGAAAAATCATAAGTGATATTTCCAACGGCAACTCTGAAATTATGTCAAAGTTAGAACTGGCATCTGAAAACCATGTACTAGTAAAACAATTAAACGAAAACATGTTTGTGTTCGAAATTAATATTAAAAATATCGTTACTATTTATAATTTTGTTGTGTTCTGTTCAAAAGTCGACAGTAAACTGAACGTAAACGCACTCGACGAAGATTATATATGCGCAGCGCATGCGCATGCGCACTTATCAGTCCGATAGATAATTATCTATGGAATAGATATGATAATTATTAGTTCCATTCAATTCGATAGATATTACAAGTCATCAATATATTTTTATAGAAATTATATTTTTTCATAATGTTTGTTATTAGTTAGTTCGATACGTAGCTGAGAAGGTGTTTAATAATACATAGAGATATTTTTAAGATTTCGATTTTATTTGTAAAATATGAAGATATAATCAAAATTATACTTTATTAAAAGACAACAAAATTCATAATATCAAATGGCTTTAAAGTAAACTATAATTATATTTTTGGATGTAAAAACCTCGTTTTAGTGTTTAAGTTTACATTTAGAAAAATATTTTGATTTTTATCAAACAATTTTTGCTCATTACTGGGTTAAGTTTAATATCAATTCTAAATGGATTTTTCTGTAAAACTCTCTAATTCGAATAAATTATATTATACAGGTGATTTTTTGTCATAACCCACTCAATTACTTACAAGAAAATATAATTTAAACATTTTTTTTTGGTTATCTTTAGTTACATATTATTCTTGAATTATTAACTATGTAATACATTTTAAGTTCATCCCTCATACCTTGGAAGGGTGTCAACTTTGTTTTTTTTTAATGGAAACCCATATTTTGAATTTAATACAATGTTTGAGTTTTTATTTTAATAGTAAATGGCATTTGAATATTTAATATAACTTTAATCGTTTATTAGATATAAACATTTAAAGTTTCAAATTTTTGAGTTAATATTCATGTATAATACACAAGGGATTACAAGTACAGGTAGCTAATTGGTTTTTATGACATCAATATTCGCAGATACACAGCATTGTTATTATCAATGGTAGTAAAGCCCATTGCAACTTATTACTTTTTGTTCAATTAAATAAATAACTTAAAAAAATATTTAGAATTTGATTGAAATTATAAAAATATCTAGAATTTTTAATATTACAAATATACAAATATTTATTATTTGTATTTAACTAGGATTTACCTATCTGGGGATCAACTCTAGACCCGGTGAACTGCAGGCCCTACGCACTTTCGGTGTTAAATTCTTCGGGCTGTCTTTATTGTTAGACCACTGATTCTGATAGAAGTACCTTGTAACGCCCAGCACGATTATATTTCTGTTATACATTTTATGTTTCTTTTAAATATATTGAATTAAAATATCAATTTGAAACAATAAATCGTAAGTATATATTTTTAAATTTTCTTTGTAAATATTTAATTAAAAAATGTATTACAAAAAATTAAATCTTCATGTGAATGTATATCAGGGAGGTATTGTGAAAGTGGTAATAAAAAAAAGTAGTCGTCACAACCATCTAAAAAACACCAAAAATAAGAAAAAATGAAAAGATATAAACAAATAAAAGTATGTATTAAACAAAGTGAAGTTTCATCCTTTTTAAGTAAATATATATAATTGTTACAGAATGTTACATTGTTTAAAACACAGGCATATTTCTTCGTTTTGTAGAAAAAATAATAATAATACCAAAAAAAGCTACCAGCATAAAAAATTGCAAAATGTAAGTAAAAGCCAAAATTAACATATGTAAAATAAAATATTATCAAGATATATCAAAAAATATTATTTCATATAGCATTATTGTAAGCGTATTTTTCAATATTATTATATTTTAATTATTCATTTATAAATCTAAAGAAACAAATGTGTTCTGTCAAACCCAATGAAACAGTACCGAACTGTAATGTGTATTATGTGTAAATATTCCTAGTATATAGTTAACTCAACAACAACAACAACAACAACAAGCATTAAAAACAACAGCATGGACAACAATAACAGTCATAAAAACAACAACAATAACAAGTAATAAAAACAGCACTAACAACAATAACAAGCAATTAAAACAACAACATTAACTAATATAAACAGAAACAAAAATAACAACTACGACGAGTCATTATTATTATAAAAAATTGGAAATGTAAATAAAAGCAAAAATTAACATTTGTAAAATAAAATATTATCAAGATATATCAAAAAATATTATTTCATATAGTATTATTGTAAGCGTATTTTTAACAATCAATATTATTATATTTTAATTAATCATTTATAAATCTAAACAAATAAATGTGTTTTAACAAAACCAACGAAACAGTACCGAACTGTAATGTTTATTATGTGTATATATTCCTAATATCTAGTTAACTCAACAACAACAACAAGTATTAAAAACAACAGCATGGACAACAATAACAGTCATAAAAACAGCACTAACAACAATAATAAGCAATTAGAACAGCAACAACAACAATGAATAATATAAACAGAAACAGGAATAACAACTACGAGTTATTATTAAAAAAAAAAAAAATTAAATATATAAATTGTGTATTATGCAAATCGTCATTTTAAAATTAAAAAAAAAAATTTCTCGACAAATTTGACCAGAAATTTTTGACAAATAACTAATATATGTAAATTACTCACAGAATATAACATTGTTATATAATTTAAAAAACAATTTTGTTGCTTTTAGGTATATATTGTTCTTGAGTCATAGCAGATCAATTCTTTTTAAATTCTTCTATTTTTCCTTATATGGAAGTTAACTGTGTTTTTCAAACTGAAATACATATTTTGCATTTAATAAAATACTTCAGTTTATTTTAATAGTAAATGGCGTTATTATTTTTAATATATTTTTATCCATTTATTAGATAAAACCTATTAGAATTAAAATACATGTATATTATACCTTGAATTATATTAACTCTGCCTTTGTCTCAATATTTCCCGAGTACTATGTTTAGGGTTTTTTTTATAATTTAAAAAAAAAAATAATATTACAAAAACTTGCTACATGCTGGTAAAGTTTTCAAGCTCACAAATTATTTATGAAAATGGTCGGAAAATTTTGATTCATAGTTTTCGATGGTAAAAACTTTTATTACAGAGGCGCTGTTGACGATGAATATAAATTTTAGGTTTAATGGTTCGAAAACTGAACAATACCTCCACCAACTACGTATATATAGCAAGAAGGAGTGTAAAACATGAAAACTGACTTAAGATAAAACGAAAAAAAATAACTTTTTTTAACATGTTAAAGAATAAACATATGTATATTAATAAGGCTTAAATACGCTTTAAATACGCTGATAATTTTAAAATATTATAATATAGAAAAGCTACCTAAGGCTACAAACTTAAAATTGTATAAATATAAATATTACATAGCTATCGAAAATGTTCATAGATATTACACTTAACTGTTTGACCATAAGTCAAGCAGTATCTTTAAAAATGGAAAAAAATGATATAATAATTTCTTTTCAAAAGTGAATAGTTTCTTCTTTCTTTTATACATTTTCAACACGAATTGACAAGTTGTTTATTAAAATATACAATTTCGAATTTATCAGAACAATAATTTTTTTCGACAGTATAAATTAAAAATACAAAAACTGTAAATTGCATGTATAATATACATTGTATATATAACGAATAAATAAATTACACATTCTTACTTTAAGAAATCTATAGCAACCATATGTGAAAAAAATAAATAGTGAAATATATACTTTGAACTAAATTCTTTCTAATTTTATTGTATTTTAATACATAAAATTGATACCTTAAGAGGAAAATATAAAAATTCTCACATTATACTTATTACAATAGAACTTTGCGTTAGTCTAAATATTTCTTTGGTAAGATTATATTAAGTCTGGAAGAAATCTTACTAAGAATATAATAATCAATTGAATTAAAATCAATAATTGAAAAAAGTTAAAAGGATAAATTGATTTGAAGTTAATACATACATCAAAATTAAAATAAGGATAATAATGTATTTATAAGATTATAGTTTATTATAAAATAAATTAATTGAAAGTCTATTGTATTTATAACTTTTTTTTTATTTCACATTAAGTTAAATAAATAAATTTAATTAATTTATAAATTATGAATTTTCATACAAAATGTGTATACACTTTATTATTAAATAGTGGGAGACAGTATATTTTTATTTTTATACTAATTTTAATTCCTTTATGTACTTATTTAATTTTCCAAATCATTTCACATGCGTTTTAAAATTCAGTATTCTTACTGTAAAAGATCCACCCTGAAAAATTACATTTAAAATTGATTTACTGCTTTTGTCCTTGCATAATTTCCAGTCCGTTAGTTTTTACGTTAAAAGCATACCCCTTCTTTAACACTTATGTACCGTAAGCAACGCCATAGTTATCAAGTTTCACATAAGTGAATTCTTTGGACATTTTCTCAAGTTCACTCATTTGCTTCTGATGCATTAAATGTGAACGTTAAAATTGCTAGGACTTTCTAGGCCATTAATATTTTATATATTAAAATCGAATTTAAAATATTCATTAAAATATACAAATTTAAAGATAAAAAAAAAAAAATATTTAAAATTAGTGAATTCCTAAATAATAATTTAACATATTTTAAAAATATTGACATTTTAAAAGAAATTATTTTCAGAATGACATATTTTCTATACAGAAAAATCCATTTAGAATTGATATTAAACTTAACCCAGTAATGAGCAAAAATTGTTTGATAAAAATCAAAATATTTTTCTAAATGTAAACTTAAACACTAAAACGAGGTTTTTACATCCAAAAATATAATTATAGTTTACTTTAAAGCCATTTGATATTATGAATTTTGTTGTCTTTTAATAAAGTATAATTTTGATTATATCTTCATATTTTACAAATAAAATCGAAATCTTAAAAATATCTCTATGTATTATTAAACACCTTCTCAGCTACGTATCGAACTAACTAATAACAAACATTATGAAAAAATATAATTTCTATAAAAATATATTGATGACTTGTAATATCTATCGAATTGAATGGAACTAATAATTATCATATCTATTCCATAGATAATTATCTATCGGACTGATAAGTGCGCATGCGCATGCGCTGCGCATATATAATCTTCGTCGAGTGCGTTTACGTTCAGTTTACTGTCGACTTTTGAACAGAACACAACAAAATTATAAATAGTAACGATATTTTTAATATTAATTTCGAACACAAACATGTTTTCGTTTAATTGTTTTACTAGTACATGGTTTTCAGATGCCAGTTCTAACTTTGACATAATTTCAGAGTTGCCGTTGGAAATATCACTTATGATTTTTCGGTAAGTACAAAATTTTATTATTTTACATTAACAATCAAATTTGAATTCATTATTTAATAATTTATGATGTAAAACAACAGGAAATACTTGAATGGAGCCGACATAAATGCCGCTAACAGCGTTTCAAAAAGATGGAGAAATTTTTGTCGTAGTGATAAAAAAATACGTGAAAAATTGATCACCTACCGCAGAAATAAAGAAAAAGCATATAAAGGCTTGAGATTTTATCGACTCTGCAAGGATTCGGGTAAGTTTTTTTAATCGACTTGTAATAGTTATTTCGTGTTGGATGTATGTATAAATATCATTTATGTTTCAGGTTCACTAAAAGAAACCAAGACGCTTTTGAAGAAAAAAAAGAAGAATCGCTTAATTTCAACTGGCAAAAATCTACTTTGTCTCAGGTTATAAAAAAACATTGATTTTTTTTTATATTTAATTGAATAAATTATTGTTTTAGTAATTATTTAATTTAATTATTATTTTTGATATTTAATTATTATTAAAGTAGACGAAATGTACTATGATAATATGTTGATGTTAATTTATCGTAATATACGAAGATTTTTATATTTGAATTATAATGTTTGTTTTATTTTTCAGCATTAACAAAATACTTCTATCCAAATTGAGATTCCCGTCGTCAAATAAAATAATTTTAATAAAGTTAAACAGATTATTAAAAAAGGTATATATTTTTATAACTTAATTCTAGTGGTGTAAGATTGTATTTAAGATTTTTATTCGATATATATACACTACTTTGTAAGTAATGCATTTCTTATTTTTAGTTTTGTTAGAAGCTTAAAAACTAAAGAAACATTGTGTTATATGATCTAAAGTTGAATCCATCTCTATTCAGGCTGACGTACATGTCGTACAATATAGTCCGACATTAGAAACAAAAATTAGAATATTTAAAAAAAATAATTTATATTTTTGATAATAATTCTCATTTTAACATAATTAAGGAAAAGTTAGCACTATAACCAGAAATATGCCTGTGTCTGCCACCCCCTGTACGTGAACGTTGTCATTAAGTTTTTACAGTTGCTAATAATTGTTAAAGGTTGTTGGGCGACAAATTTGATCGATTAAATACTCATAAAATATTCTTTAATTAATTAGTGTAAATTAATTTGTTGAAAAATTAGTTTACCAAATGGAATAATTATCAGTAAGTAATTTGAATTCATACAGATAGTTTACATAAGACTGACAAAAATACATAAATTAATAATATATATTTGTTTGAGAAAACCTGCTCAAGGAAATAGTTTTCCTCTTTTAACAAACAAAATATTAAATTATTCACACATAATTAAAACGTCTTATTTTTTAATAGAAATTTTCAATCTATTTAAATACTGGGTTAGTTTTTTATAAATTTCTCTTATACTATTTTTGGATCTCATTACATCAAAATGATATTTTTGGTAGTTAAATCATTTTTAATACTTAAAATATTTTTAATTATTGTCTCATTTTTCTTTTTTGTTTGTGTGGTTCATTTTTGCCTGGAAGAAATAAACGGAAAAAACAAACTATAACTCAACCTGCAGAAATATGGATTTATGATGTGAAAAATTAGAAATTTATTTGTTGCAGAGAGTGGTGACAACATGCAGAATGTAATGGGAACTAGAAACATTTTTCCGGTAGTTCTTTCCCCTTCGATTAAACTAGAAGTGTAGTGAGAGTATTTGGATGATTTGGGCGGATATCCGATTTTCTGGAACTTGGCCAGGATTAACTGCACTGCTACCATAGTCCATTTTGCTTCAACTCTATTCTTTCTAGATCGTTTCACTACTCCCTTCGTAATCGTTTGTATTCATCCTGTACTATGCATTCTTCTTTATCCCACTTCATCGTCATATTATAACTGAGGGTGAGTTTTCCCTTAATCTGTACATATGCTATAGAACCACCATTATTTACCGATCCAACCCTACGCACGTTCCACTACATTTTACTTAAATGTACAATCTATGTCTTATTATTGATCTTTGTATTTTTTTAAAACAAACAAATGCACAGATAAAAAACTGAATTTCTAAAGAGCAAATTTTAATAAAATTAACATTTTACAAACTACACATAATACCAGCACAATGATTATTATTTCTGAACTCAATATAACTTACGTATTAAGATACTTTTTATTTTTTCTCAACACAATCGGATCGAAATTATAAAATATATTAAGGCTTACAATAGAAAATAGAAAATATTAAATAAATGAAATTATGAGAAAACGAATTCACTGTGTCTTTATTGTTTCAATAAAAAGCAGTCGGGGAAACATAAACGAGTGTAGTAACTGTTATATTAAAGAAAAGTATTAGCTTTTATATTGACTTTTGAAGGTTATAATATGTATTGTTTTTAATAATTGCAAAGATATTTTTACACTTAAGATAATTTTTCAACGTTTATTTTATTGTAATTTTTATCTATTTTCAAGTTAAAAATAATTCATTATAATTTAAATGGAAAATTCACTTTAACTTAAATGTTTAGTATATAATAATAGTAATAAAATAGTAACGGTATTGTATAATATTTTGTGAAGAATTCAATATATATAATATATAATTTACCCCTTTTTCAAATGTATCTTTACTGGAGATTTTTCTAAAATATAAGTTTTGTTTTTATACCAGAGACATAATGAATGGTCCATTACCTACTATGCTCATTTTTTTTGTTTTGGTTTTAGAAAGAGGTGGTGGGTTAAAATACAACGCGATGCTCACACTACGGTAATAAAAATGATTTAGTGACAGTGGTTTTTGTTGTAGAAGAAATTGGAAAAAATTAGAAACCCCCTCAAAACGTTGTCTTGGTTCGATATGAATATCCAAAAAGTAACGCGTGTCTTGGGCTCAAGCAATATTTGTCTTTAGCTACGTCTTGCTCTGATATCTTTAACCGAAACACATATCTTACAAGGATATGTGTGTTCACCAATCATAAAAGGGGAGAAAAGTAATATAGGGGAAGAACTATGAGACTTTTTGTAAAAAGACTAGTGGTCTTACGTGCTCTGAAGGTTAACTAAATTTTCCTTTTGGTCTCATAGCCGCTCGGTTTGTCAAGGAAGGTGCACGTAATTGACGTATCGCCCGGCCGGTCTTGTATTTTGCTGCCATTGCTTTTGTCTCCCCAAATGTGACGGTCTTGGTGTGATTCAGTGGACCACAATGTAATGGCAAATACTGAGAACGGAATATTACGCGATGGGCGTCAATTGCTCTGTTGGAATACGAATGACTTAAGGATCTACTTTTTTCACGTGATAAAAAAAAATACGGAAATGAACCATTCGAAGAGAGCGTCTCAAAGTAAAACTTTCTTATCCATATAATGAAGACAAATTCTTTAAAAGAAATTATATAAAATTGTTTAGCTTTTTCGTTTCATGAAATAACAATAATATTATTATTAATATTATACGTAGGGGTTGCTAGGTGATAAAACGTTTTGTAATAATCACATTTTTGTGATTTATTTTTACGAATACCAAAATGAATAAACCAAATAAATTTAAAATTTATCCTATTTTTAAGAAAATAAATTTCTTAAATACTCGATAAAATTATTTCCGATGAGAACATACACACGATGGTACAAACGGTTTAACTTTTATGTATAATCATTTACTTTAATCTAATCATAATATATTTTTTATTTAACCGTGTAAGTCATTTATTATTACAGTTATTTTTTTAAAATTGTATGTTTTTACCAAAAAATTATTTAATTAAAATAAATAAATAAATAAATATATTTTTACTGTAAAATTATGAATTTGTTCTGAAAGAACTGAATTATTGTAAATATTATGAAAGGTGTACAACATTTTGTATTTACATTCATTCACATAATGAAATTAAATTTACTAGAAAATACGAATATCTTTTTTAGTTAAACAATTGAAGAACTTCAAAAATAGCCTCTAGGAATATACTTCTTAAAATATACGTCGAGTTTGTGTTGAAAATTTTATCGTTTTCAAATATCAATAACTGTAAAAACTACTATGAAACGTTTTGTCTTGCCTTCAGCATAAAACTGTCATCAAGATACAATAACTTTATTGCATTTCATTATGGATCAAAGATATCAATGTTATTTAATTATACTGTCTTATACATATTATTAAGTACAAAATTTGCCGTTCAAAAATAATGATAATAAGTAATATCGTGGAATATATTTAAATGGCAAGTAATTCTTAATTTATAATGCCTTATGAATAATTGATTAAATACCAACATTATGTTTTATTTTTGTTTAGATGATTATGAAACTATTTTTAGAACAATATAATTTTTGCTTTTGACTCAAGAAAATGTGCTTATTTAAAATATTTAGTACGATGTTTATAAATTTAAGTAAAAATATTGCTATTTAAGAATTAAAATTTTAATGATTCTCACAGATACAAAGTTCTTAGATGGAAAAAGAAAACTTAAAAAAATCTTTTATAAAATATCTGAACAGACTCTAGAAACAATTAATGTCTTTTGAACGTGGCTTTGGTAGCAAAGAGTAAAAAATTATAAATTTATTTTATCAATGTTAGTTGAAACCATTAAAGTCATTCGAAAATATAAACTCCATGAACTTACTATGAATTTTATTGAAAAGAAGAACAACTTTAAACGCATCAGAATATTTATTTCCTGTAATGGAAACTTATTCAAGTTTTAATTTAAGTTTTATCCTTTTAGGTATTTCATAACAACATTAAAAATTATTATTATTATTATTATTATTTATTTAAGTATATATACTTGAGTATATATAGTATTTACCTGAGTCAAAATTTTACTAATATTTTACATATTTATTTTTCATATATTAAGTGTATTTAAAAAAAATGAAGTTGTTTTATATATTAAAATTATTTTCTATTAAAGTTAGCTTTATCTTCAACGGTGATCATAACCTTCGTGTTATCAACCGTGTTCAAGATTACTAGCTTTTCCGAATATTCCTTTTAATCTTTTGCAACGACGCTCGTAACAACATGTTACCTAACGTGATCCAAAGAGTTATACTTTCTCTTTAGCTAAATTAATTAGTTCTTAAAGTAAGACTGATATGATAGGTAGCTGTTTAGTATAGATAAATTTGTTTCTTTTAAAATAAAACAAAAATAAGTTGATTATTTGAGCAAAATTGTGTTGTGATTTCGTATTATTGGTAAATTTAAGTAAAGTAATATAAACTCAAAAGAATACTAACTTAGAAACGTTTCACTATGATGTGTTTATTTTTTTTTCATAAATTTTTTTTAATTTGTTACTACCTTTTCTTAGCTCTCATAGAACCAATTTCTTTTAATGATATGCTAAAAGATCAAAAATTGTATCTAATCGAACATATTACCCTCAAAAATTGAAAAAATATCCATCGTTTTCCGTAGATAGAGGAAATCATCAAAATAATTACAACATTAAAATGTTGAAAAATGGATAGTTAGAAACAAATTTTGTTTTTGTAAATACCACCTTAGGTATCTACCATTTAAATCTGACCCTATATCGACCCACAAGAGGTTCAAATTGACAACATTTTTACAAAAAAATAATTAATTTGGCTTAACTTTTGAAAATGTTATGAAAATACCGACACTTTGAATATATATTTTATTAAAGCTTTTATGTAATGTAATTTATTTTGAAAAAAAATTTCATTATAATAATATCAAAATATGGATTATTATGAAAGTGGAATTAAGGGACTCTCCCCGATTTTTTTAATCAGAAATATTTATTTTGACTCATCATCATTTATTAAAGGCAAGCCTTTATGAAACACATATGAATGTATTGAAGCTTTTATGGCTTGTTGTATTATATAGAATGATTTAAGAAATGTCCATGTCTTTGTGAAAACAAGAATATATCTTTAAATATTCTAATTGTATACATTAGCAGAGATGTTGTCAAATAAATTATTATACCTCGATTTTTTAGTTTTTAAAATGATACCTATAAGTTGATATCTATATAATTTTTTTCTGAGTATTAATATAAATGGTTTCATAGTAAATCAAGTAAAATAGAGAACAAAATGCATATACTATTATTGTTTATGTATGAAGAAATAACAATAAAATATATTACTATTCTACTATAATACTAATATTAGTGTAGAATTGTGTTCGATTATGACACAAGCATATGTATACAAATTGCTTATGTTAAAACCCCATAAGTATCAAAGCTTTCAGTTCATAGTTTAAATATTAACGAGTAACGACCCCTTTCATTTTTCTAAGTAGTGGAAGGGTATTGTAGTGGTAGTATAAGTGGGCTCCAAACATTTTCTCAACAACAACGTAAACACTTATAAAAACTCTTTGGGTTGGTGTGCGTTTGTGATACAAAAGATTCATTAAAACAGGACACGTGTTATCAGACTAGAGGGTTGAAGGTACTTAGCGGAATCATGAGATCATTAGTGAAGTATTTTTGAATGAAAATATATATCTAAACTATTTAAAAAAATGAGTACTGAGTATAGAGATAAATGGCAAAAATAAAATAAAATACTACTTTTGAAAAATTCATGTTAACTCACTTAAATGGTTTTTGAAGCTTTATAATCAACTTTTATAATATTCTGAAATATCATAGAATTTTAATTGCGTCGATTTTTTAAATATTCATCAATTTTAATGTTGTTTTATGAAATAAAATATGTAATATAATATAAGTCATCGTGAGCGTTTTATCGGCTACCATAAATCTTAATTTTATTACTTTGTTAAAATAGTAGTTTACACACAGTGAACTTAATATTAATAATGAGATTGAGCTTACATAGTATTTTGTGGTTTAGGCGCATATTTAAAAATTGATATTGCCTACAATATCAGTAACTAGTAAAGTCATTTAACCGAAGGACTTTAATTTGTTGACAATATTAAACAGATTTAATACAGGCGAGTATTTAAAAAAAATATATTTATTATGGTGACGATGTGGAAATCATTTAACACTCATTAAAAATGTGTAAATAAACCAGATTATAAGCAAAAAAAACACCATTTCGTAATATTTGAAAAATATTTCTATATGATTATAACGTAACGCAAGTACTACAAAATATGACGATTAAGTTATTTTAAATGTATACATAAAAAAAACTGAACCATTAGATATATGTAGTGGTTTAGCTATGAGTAGAAAACATTCTAGGAGATTTCGAGTGTTTCAGAAACGGGTAAAATCAATACACAGCAATGGTAATATCATTATGTAAAACGGAAAAGGGCGAAAAAAAGGTCCATCAAGTGCATTCTGGTCACGAGCGCCAATCAAAATTCTATTCTTACACTTGTAAAGAGAAGAGGGCAAAAGACGTAATTCA